GGAAATATCGTTGTTCATACTTTAATTCTGAAGAATCTCGTCATTAGTGGTTGAGGACAGGGACGTAATGTTACCGTTCATGTTGATTTTTGTTTGTTTTTGTCTGAAAATATCACGTTTAAATGAAAACAAATATGCCACAAATAACTCTATGTTTGAAAAGTGACGCGTAAATTTCTGTGATCAAGTTACAAAAACGACCCAATGACAACAACATTGACATGCGAATATACCTTCAGAGCTGGGCTCTTAATCGGTTGGTTACAAAACATGTACAATATTGTGAATTCGTTGTGTCACTGATCATTTCACTGTCGATGTTTGTTTATGTTTTTTTTATTGTTTTTATTGCACTAGTTGCAAGGAAGATATAAGGAAGATACACATGGAACCAGTTGTGAGTTTCGTAATGTTTGATAGATATTTCTCTTTAAATTTTAATCAACAAGTGATTCAATAACCACTATAATTATGCATTTCTGATCCAAATAACATACTATTTATATAATGATTACTGGAAGAACTTTGATGGCCTGGGTTTTCCTTAACATAACACGTCTTCACTTCTATAAATAGCAACACAGTGCGGTTCAGATTATACATATGTGATGGGTGTTCTTTTAAAATAATCCATTATTGAAAATTACCAAAATGTATTGAATTAAAGGGTCAGTTCATCTCCCTATTTACATTTTAAAATATTTCGTTTTGGCGTTTTTTTATTATCGTAACTCACTTCTCACGCTTGTCCTCGAGGGACAAAACACTTGTATGGTTTAGATTAATTAATCAGTTGGCATACACTGTCTTGCAAAATACAATGTTTCAAATGTCGCGCAAACATTGTTGCTTATATCGAAATACTGGTTGTTTTTTCAGTTTCATGTGCATACCAGAACGTATTCTATTTCAATCTGTTGCATATGTTCACCCGAAGAAATAACTTTAGGTTGTCCTGGTTGTCCTAGGCTATCGAATACTGAAGTAAAGTAACGAAACCCTTGGTTTTTTAACATCTTGTATGGTTTTAGCATGATGTTAAAGTGGCTATATTGGCGTCGGCAAGTTTTCACTGACAGGATTGTGTGATGTTACTTAGTTAAAGTTATATATCTCATTTTGAGTTTAGAAAGCTTACAATGACTTCGACAACCAGTAACCAGTAATACTTTACCCATTCTAAGAACATTGTAAAGTTGAGTTCTTACATATCACAAGTTAGCAATTAAGTAAATGGTCACCTATCTATACAAGTACATACACGTGTATGCCATTTGAAGACATTTCGTACAGGTAACATTGTTTTGGCATAGTAAAACATTATGACCCAATAAATCTTAACAGAAAAATCTTGTACTATTGTCCTTTATACTTGAAATGCGACTATTCCATACTAAAAATGTTATGGTAATCACGGTGATAGTTTGTGTGGGAAATTCGTAACAGTTTACAAATCGCTAGTTTAATGAGAGGTTTTCACACTGGAACTTGGCACGAGTTCCAAACCAACGGTTCATATATGTGTTATAGTGTCTTTAATACATATATGCCGACCGTCGGTTGGGAATTCCTGCCAAGTTCTGTTCATGTTCTTTGCCCGTTGCCAAATTACTATTGTATCAAAGAATCGATTAAACAATTTGACATATTTAGCAACGAAAAGTTCGAATTTTCAAACTTTGGTCAACTGGTCCTGAAAATGACTAAATGTTTGTCCACTTTATAATTATATACATGTACATGTTTATCAGTTTCTTTGTGGGCTCTGTATAAAAACTATTTACCCTACACGAACTCGCCTAAATTCATCAATTCGTCATCCTACGACATGCCATTCAGTACTAGGCTCAAACATACCAGACTGCTCTCGAAGTAAACATTTTGTTTGTTTTTACTTACAGTTTGCTTGATGTGGTGACAGTTCGTGCTTCTACAGAGCTACATATAGCCGACGAAAACGGCGAGAAAGTAATCAGCACGTGAACTAGAGACGTAAACATTGCGACAGAACGATTGGCTAATCCACAAGTACGCAACACATCTTTGAGATTTTAAGACACTTCTTTAAAAATATCAATATGTTGATTTTAACACTGTTTCCATCATTTAAAAATTCTACCACTCACAACTACACAATTTTTTTCAATCCTTAATTTTCAAATCCTCACTCTCGTTTACATTTTCACAAGCATTGCTGTATCCCCCGGAATTTTAAGGGGTCAATTATTTCCTGGGGGTTGAGCGTAAGACTAGTAAGGCGGTGATGTCAGGTTCGAATCCCGAGTAGCACTGAAATAAATAATAACCCCTGTTATAAAAGTATATCTACATATATCGAAAGATGTTTAAAAGTATAACAATAATAATTGCTGACGACATTACATGATAAAGTAGGATGGTTCCAACATATTCCAAAAATTCTTCAATCAAGTATGAAAAAAATCAGTTTTACGTTAAATTATTTTTTTGTTAAAAAGAATAAAAACTTTGCTAATAATATTTATGTTTTTTTTTATCATGGCGGTATTGGCATATTGTATGGTTGCTCTTTGGTCAGATTTTATAATAGACTTGAACGAGTTAATCTTGAAGCAGCACAACAATCTAACCCCTTAATTTGTATTTAACTTATATTCTTTACCAGAAAGGAGGCGAAAGTAACATCTACTATGTCAGAAGCAACAACTCCTATTCCAAATTTTCGATTGTCAAACCGATTTTAGCTCACCTGGCTCGGAGGGCTTAAGGGCAAGGCCAAATAGGGAAAAATCTATCAATTCTTTAAAATTTAACTTGTTCTTCAGGAATTGCAGGATATTGTTAAAAAATGGTCTGAAGCATGTGTATGTGAAGGAAAATCAGTTCTTTTGTATAAACGGTGGGTCTCATCCCCCTCGGTCTGAGGGGCGGGCCAAATTTTAGAAAAATCTGTCAATGTCCTTGAAAATCTATCTTTCTATCTTGTTCTTTAGGAATTGCAGGATATTGGGATATTGTCCAAAAATGGTCTGAAACATGTTTGGGTGAAGGGAAATCAGTTATTTTGTATAAACAGTGGGTCTCATCCCACTGGGGCCTGAAGGGCGGGGCCAAATTGGGAAAAATTGGCAATGTCTTTAAAATCTATCTTGTTTTTCAGGAATTGCAAGACATTGTCCAAAATTGGTCTGAAGCATGATTTGATGAAGAGAAATTAGTTTTGTATAAACGTTGGGTCTTGACCCCATGAAGCAGGAGGTTCGGGGCCCAATATTGAAAACCCATATATTTCTCAAAAAATTATCTTGTTCTTCAGGAATTGAAGGATATTGTCCAAATGTGGTCTGAAGCATGCTTGTGTAAAGGGAAATAAGTTTTGTATTAATGGTTGGTCTCGGCCCCTTGGAATCTTAAAGGGATTGGGCGAGAATCCTAGAACCCGATTCTTTGCCAAAAAAGGAAGTATCAGTCCGAGGAGTTATAGCAGAATAACCTCTGGACCAGCGTAGGCAGGAAGGAAGCGACGACGAGGTGTGGCCTTCGCTCCTCCTACGGCCAGAAGCCAGAGCAACAAGGAAGGCTGTCTTGAAATAAAACAAACTTCAAAGAGGCAGACTCCAAAGGTTCATAAGGAGCCCGTGTCAGGGAATCCAGCTCAAGATCCTGGTTTGACTGTTAGGATAACTGCCGAACCCTGGGCATATCCAAAGCAAAACCTCTAATTAAGGCAGAAAAAGAGGACGAACCTATCTCCTTTCTACCGTAAAAAGCAAGGACACGGCAATAGCCAGCTATAGAACCACGCGCCAGATTGCAGTCCCTAAACAAGCAGAGGAGATCCGCAATCAACTGCTCAAATGCCTTGAACGGATCAACATTCCTGCCGACACATCAATAAAAGAAGATCTTCCTTCGTGATTGGTAGACGGCAGAAGAGGAAGCCCTGATAGATCTTGCGATGCGATCTGACACCTCTCGAGAAAGGCCTGTCTGAGCGAAGCTTTGTGATATAGCCCCCATGCGTAAAGGTGGAGGATCTCTGGACAAACGTGCATCGTCCTAGACCGAGGCTGACGAAGGAGATTCAATCTGGTGTGGAGAGCCAACGGCTCCTCCACCAAAAACAACAAGACCTCCGGAAACCAATGTTGCCTCGGCCACAGGGGCGCTATCAAATGTAAGGAACAATGATTCTCCCGAAATTTCTGTAGCACTCTGCCCGCCGGATTGAACGGATGGAGTGAATAGGCATGCATCTCCTCCCTGTTCAGAGACTGAGCTTCCACACCCTAAGCCTTCGAATATGGAACCGGAGAAACGAAAGTTGGCAGCTGGTTGTTCAGAGAAGTAGCGAACAGCTCCATGAGAAGCCTGTCCCATGCCTAACAAATACCTTGAAAATCAAGGGACACAGCTGCCTGTCGGGAAATAAATGCGAAGATGATGTGCATTATTATTTTTCATTGTATACTACATACTCGATAATGTCTAAATTTTATTGAAAATATTTCTCAAGTTTGCAGCATCTCAATGTTGTGCTTTATATGGTAGTCCAATGTAGCAAAAAAGTAACACTTTTCATTTTGTCGAAACTATCATTAAAAACTTTTAACTATGTTAGGGTCGCTTTTTCGTTTAAGGAAACATTTTCCCATTACTATACGTTTTTCCTTTCTGTTTTTTTTTTCCCCGAATGGCATATATATTCAGTTTTAAATCCCCGACATTACCATTCCACATTAATGCGCGTGATAACCTGAATAGCAGTCTATAATAAGACGTGAGTCTGAGTTTTTCTTTTTTAACGTATCACACAAATATGATTTTGCTCCTTTTTAATCATGATATGAACGCGACATCCGTATTAACGGTAGCATTTAAAGTTGGATGAAGTTCAGTAGGTTCATATTGGTTCGTTTCGGTCATATGATGGAGTTATTTCGCATTTTATAAGCACTGTTGACATATATATATATAGAAATCAACAAGCTGAGTACATGAGTAGGACCCTATTGTTATGGATTCGCTTGGAATGTTGGACAAAGCTGATATGATTTATTTTATTGCAGAAAGAATCGTATTTTTGCTCAGAGTAACGATACCATGCAGGGTGAACGGAGAAGCGAGATCCACGCAATGATGAGTGTACAGTGAATTCATCCAGTGTTTTTTTTACATAATTAAAAGCAGTGTACTGCTTTATCAGCTGTTTTATATATATATACAAGAAATGCAGGCTTATATGATGCATGAAGATGAAAAGAACCTTCGAATTAGACATCACATGTAATTAAGGTATAAATGCAGTCACTGGAATGAAAGCCGAGTGACATACCAATACATTGGACGGGTCAGACCAGATATTCTCGAGTCAGACCTACTCCAAAGCATATATGTCGACTAGGCTAGGCAAATTTGTATGTTTTTTTATCTAAATTTTCAAATCAAGTCTAGTGCATCATCGTCTTTTAAAAAAATGGGAAACTTTGAATATTCGCATGTCTTTGAGTTTCTCGGGAAAACTGCGTCCTTCCGTTAAGATGGTTTGGAAAACCCGAAACTACGTTGGTCAGAAAATTCATGCATGATTGAACATGAATATAGTGAGATGACTAGACATCGATATATTATATTGTGGACTTCAGATACTTTTTAGATGAGCTTCAGATCAGAATATCTGAATGAATGTTTAAGGTATACATTTGTGTACTGTTCATTTTAATACATATGATGCATGCATGTTATCTGTGTCATTTTCATATTGTAACAATTGTTACAATATTGAGTGGATATTTTGTACCACGGCTGGGTCATTCTTCACTGGTATTGGTGGTGTTCTTGGGGAAGACATCTCTCGATTCTTTAAGTGCATAAAGAGTATGAATGGCCTCTTGCATAAATTAAGTTTGGTGAGGTACATATATATGTAACAGTGGCTAGTGTTACATACATATAGTCTTCAGCAACTGGTAAGAGATCCCCACCTCTTGATAACCCTTAACCTCTACTGTTTATCTTTTAAGCAGGATGTTTAACCACTAAACAGTTTAAGCACATGGCATAACATTGTATTTAGATAAGTTTGAACTCTTCAGCAAGTCAGTATTAGCCGACAATATTTTCTTTCTGGTTGTACCAACATCGGTCTCCACTGGGTTTTTTCTGTTACGTACAATTTGTAATAAGTGCAAACCTTTTGATTTTGTATTCCTTTCTGTTCCAGATGTACATGTAGGTACACATTTTCTTATGTCTAAGCACTCACATGTTCAGAAACACCTGATGACAAATGCTGTGTGCAACGATCACCACCGCTTGAACAAAAAGAAACAACTCTTCATGGAGACCTACAATGACAAGTTAGCAGAACAACTATTTCTCCGACAAAAAGACTATCAATATATGGTCTTTCAATAGCAAGTTATAAAAGCACAGACAATATTGTATATATTAGTAAGTATATTTGTTCACTAAATATTTGAATACATTTACATATATAATCTGTGTAGACCATAGATACAACATATAAAACAATTTGTGTACAATTTGCAAATGTATGTAGGATTAAATAATGTAAATCAGCTCATGCCATATCTAGTCACTGTAATGTGCAATATTTTGCCAGTATGGAATTTATCTAGATAATGAACAATAATTCTTGGGGATTCATGTATTCAGCCCTACATTGGTTCATACTTCATTTTGCCTTCAAATTTTATGCAAGAGGATTGCTCACAAGGAAAGCACTTACCTTGCAGGAATACCTGATTTGATTTTCCTTGTACTTTTCAGGGGTCTCTGTGTAAACCTTTCTTTTGTTCATGCTTTTCCCCCCATGTTTCATCAAGTTTGAATTAAGATTCTGTAGACATGCTGGCATTTTCCAGAAAAATTCCAGAAACGTCTGCCTTAGCTATTTGACAAATGTACAATATGGTAAGAGTATCTAATACATTTTATTTTCAGAAGGCCATCATCTCATCACACCGTGTTGTTTATTAGATCATATGTATAGTAGCTTTTAACATCATGGCACGAAGTACACTGAGAGGATCAAAGCATTACATGTGGGATATCACAAAGATGCTGGGCCAAGGTGCTACAAGTAAAGTCTATCGTGGCAGAAACAAGGTAATAAAAATCACATTTGTTTCATGAAATTAAACTGAAAATTAACTAAAAAAAATATTAAAAATATAAGAAAAAAAGTTGACATCTTACTCTTGCCCCAGAGATGTGATGGTGAGGGTGATTGCTAATATTTTTATATTTTCAGAGCTATGAGAAGTTTTGCACCCATGTAGGGCAAAAAAATTCCATTTATCGTCATTTTTCTCAATTTTAGAAAAGTTATCTCCCTTCAATCAATTTGTAATGACTTTACATGTTTCAGTACCCTCCCTTGATCTTCGATTAAGAAGGTTTCATCAGAAATTCATATAAAAGTTTTGAGAGGCAAGTAATGCATATATAAATATTTTTAAACTATCTACAATAACAAATTACTAACCTCCTCCCAGTTGTTCAAGAACCTGTTTCTCCTCTTCAAAAGGATAACTTCATAAGAGTTATTCCCCTATTATGAATGCTACCTGTTGTGTCCTGCAGAGGGACAATGACTCATTGTAGACTTGGATATTTATAGAATCTGGGTATTTCCAATTTTTTTTTGACTGTTTGTATTTTGTAGATCACAGGTGAAGAGGTAGCGGTGAAGGTTTTTACTTCAGCCGCTGCCCTAAGACCCTTCGAGGTGCAAATGAGAGAATACTCCCTTATGAAAAAGATGGATCACATGAATATTGTAAAGATGCAGGACTTGGAACAAGAGGTAAGTGATAATTGATAGATAATCTCAAGTGTTGTGAGGGAGACTATTGGAGCTTATTTTGACTTTTCTAGTGCCTTGTATTTGTCAATATACTGTCCTGGATATGAGTGTTTTAATATAGTAATCTGTGAATAAATACTATACATTTAACAAACTGGACTGAAATAAAATATGGTGTATTTACGTTTAATGCTACCAACTTAAGTAATGCTGATAATCACATTAGGTGTATACAAAACACATCTTTTATTACCTATAGGCATGTGAATTATTGTCATGTACAAACAAACTTAACAATATTTTTCTAAAATTGCTTTGAAAAGTGTATCAGTTTTAACATTTTTTTGGTTTTTTTTCGTGATAGTGAATTAATTAAATTGAATAACTGTATAAGACCAGCAGTTGGTATATATACCTGCCACATTTGTGGGCAATTCCAAGTAAAATATCATAAAAGACTGATACAGCTGTATATCAGATAGCCCATTGTCTTTTCCTGCTGAATTTGTTATAACCTTTTAGTGAAAAATGAGAAGAAAGAAATCTTCATGTATTTTTATGAAGGGAGATACTATATGAGAAGGCAGGAAACTCAAAATATAATGTAGATGCTAAGTTTTATGATAAATTTGATGAACATTTATTGTCTAACAGACTGGAACTGATAATAAAGTAATCGTGATGGAACTTTCTACCTGTGGAAGTCTCTATAGTATGCTGGACGATCCCAAAAATGCCTATGGATTAGAGGAGACAGAGTTTCTACTGGTGTTAAACCATGTTGGTATGTGTACAAAATCATGTGACAGGTAGGTTATGTAGAGAAGATATTACAGGTGATTACTTAGCATTGCTATTATACTGTACACATACATGCTTTGTTCTTTTATCCCTTTAACGGTTCAGGAAAGGAGAAGGAGATTAATCAATGTTTGTGTTTGTTTGGGTTTGACAGGTACTTAAAATTTACATCATATCTGTATCTTGTGATTTCAGCACAGGGAATGAAATATCTTCATGAGAAAGACATTGTACATCGTGATGTTAAGCCAGGGAATATTCTGTGTTATAAAGGAGAGGATGGAAGGTAATACTGTGTGTTATAAAGGAGAGGATGGAAGGTAATACTGTGTGTTATAAAGGAGAGGATGGAAGGTAATACTGTGTGTTATAAAGGAGAGGATGGAAGGTGATATTCTGTGTTATAAAGGAGAGGATGGGAGGTAATATTGTGTGTTATAAAGGAGAGGATGGAAGGTAATATTGTGTGTTATAAAGGAGAAGATGGAAGGTAATACTGTGTGTTATAAAGGAGAGGATGGAAGGTAATATTGTGTGTTATAAAGGAGAGGATGGAAGGTAATATTGTGTGTTATAAAGGAGAGGATGGAAGGAAATATTGTGTGTTATAAAGGAGAGGATGGGAGGAAATATTGTATGTTATAAAGGAGAGGATGGGAGGTAATATTGTATGTTATAAAGGAGAGGATGGGAGGTAATATTGTATGTTATAAAGGAGAGGATGGGAGGTAATATTGTATGTTATAAAGGAGAGGATGGGAGGTAATATTGTGTGTTATAAAGGAGAGGATGGAAGGAAATATTGTGTGTTATAAAGGAGAGGATGGAAGGTAATATTCTGTGGAGAGGATGGAAGGTAATATTGTGTGTTATAAAGGAGAGGATGGAAGGTAATATTCTGTGTTATAAAGGAGAGGATGGAAGGAAATATTGTGTGTTATAAAGGAGAGGATGGAAGGTAATATTGTGTGTTATAAAGGAGAGGATGGAAGGTAATATTGTGTGTTATAAAGGAGAGGATAGAAGGTAATATTGTGTGTTATAAAGGAGAGGATGGAAGGTAATATTCTGTGTTATAAAGGAGAGGATGGAAGGTAATATTCTGTGTTTTAAAGGAGAGGATGGAAGGTAATATTGTGTGTTATAAAGGAGAGGATGGAAGGTAATATTGTGTGTTATAAAGGAGAGGATGGAAGGTAATATTGTGTGTTATAAAGGAGAGGATGGAAGGTAATATTGTATGTTATAAAGGAGAGGATGGGAGGTAATATTGTATGTTATAAAGGAGAGGATGGAAGGAAATATTGTGTGTTATAAAGGAGAGGATGGGAGGTAATATTGTATGTTATAAAGGAGAGGATGGGAGGTAATATTCTGTGTTATAAAAGAGAGGATGGAAGGTAATATTGTGTGTTATAAAAGAGAGGATGGAAGGTGATATTCTGTGTTATAAAGGAGAGGATGGGAGGTAATATTCTGTGTTATAAAAGAGAGGATGGAAGGTAATATTGTGTGTTATAAAAGAGAGGATGGAAGGTGATATTCTGTGTTATAAAGGAGAGGATGGAAGGTAATATTGTGTGTTATAAAGGAGAGGATGGAAGGTAATATTGTGTGTTATAAAGGAGAGGATGGAAGGTAATATTGTGTGTTATAAAGGAGAGGATGGGAGGTAATATTGTATGTTATAAAGGAGAGGATGGGAGGTAATATTGTATGTTATAAAGGAGAGGATGGGAGGTAATATTGTATGTTATAAAGGAGAGGATGGGAGGTAATATTGTATGTTATAAAGGAGAGGATGGAAGGTAATACTGTGTGTTATAAAGGAGAGGATGGAAGGAAATATTGTGTGTTATAAAGGAGAGGATGGGAGGTAATATTGTATGTTATAAAGGAGAGGATGGGAGGTAATATTGTATGTTATAAAGGAGAGGATGGGAGGTAATACTGTGTGTTATAAAGGAGAGGATGGAAGGAAATAGTGTGTGTTATAAAGGAGAGGATGGAAGGTAATAGTGTGTGTTATAAAGGAGAGGATGGAAGGTAATATTCTGTGTTATAAAGGAGAGGATGGAAGGTAATATTGTGTGTTATAAAGGAGAGGATGGAAGGTAATATTGTGTGTTATAAAGGAGAGGATGGAAGGTAATATTGTGTGTTATAAAGGAGAGGATGGAAGGTAATATTGTGTGTTATAAAGGAGAGGATGGAAGGTAATATTGTGTGTTATAAAGGAGAGGATGGGAGGTAATATTGTGTGTTATAAAGGAGAGGATGGAAGGTAATAATGTGTGTTATAAAGGAGAGGATGGAAGGTAATATTGTGTGTTATAAAGGAGAGGATGGAAGGTAATATTGTATGTTATAAAGGAGAGGATGGAAGGAAATATTGTATATTATAAAGGAGAGGATGGAGGGTAATAATGTGTGTTATAAAGGAGAGGATGGAAGTTAATATTCTGTGTTATAAAAGAGAGGATGGAAGGTAATATTGTGTGTTATAAAGGAGAGGATGGAAGGTAATATTGTGTGTTATAAAGGAGAGGATGGAAGGTAATATTGTGTGTTATAAAGGAGAGGATGGGAGGTAATATTGTGTGTTATAAAGGAGAGGATGGGAGGTAATATTGTGTGTTATAAAGGAGAGGATGGGAGGTAATATTGTGTGTTATAAAGGAGAGGATGGGAGGTAATATTGTATGTTATAAAGGAGAGGATGGAAGGTAATATTGTGTGTTATAAAGGAGAGGATGGAAGGTAATATTGTGTGTTATAAAGGAGAGGATGGAAGGTAATATTGTGTGTTATAAAGGAGAGGATGGAAGGTAATATTGTGTGTTATAAAGGAGAGGATGGGAGGTAATATTGTATGTTATAAAGGAGAGGATGGAAGGTAATATTGTGTGTTATAAAGGAGAGGATGGAAGGTAATATTCTGTGTTATGAAAGAGAGTATGGAAGATAATGTTACTGTGATTTTGGGACTGATCAGGAAAATAAAATGGCCGACTGGCAGCCATCTTGGATAGCGCCTAGTAAAATTTGTTATTGTTATTTCTTGAGAAGCTCTTCATGGATCTCTCTTAGATTTCATATGTAGGTTTCCCTTTGTCCCAAATTGTGTCCATTAGCCACATAGTGGGGTCCTTGCTGACCAGTTAGTGTTCTAGTTCCATTTAAAAAATACAGAGTTATATTAGATCCATAAATATCAGCTGTTTGGTCTTAGAAGTAAATATCAGCTCAACGCATCAGTTGATCAGATCATTCATGCAGTTACAGATTTGTTGTAGAAACTTGAAACCATTAACTCCAATATGTCCATTGATTGATATCTCCGTTGCAAAAAGTGTTTTCAATAGAGTTATCATATGATAAAAGTATGAAAGATTTGTTCGATGGAAAAGTTTCAACCAAACTTTTTACAAACAATTTTGAATGGGAAGCAATAGACACAAATGCTTTAACAGAATGCTTGGGAAACTGACACAAATGCATTCAAACTTCTACAGAATGGTATGGAACAGAATATGTGTATGGGTCTGTAAAGGATAGCTTTTATTGTACATATTATGTGCATATATATGCAGTTAAATGCCACGATTTCATGAGAATTTGATTTCTGATTTATTTGTGATTATTTGATACAGATTTGTATTCAAGTTGACCGACTTTGGGGCAGCAAAGGAATTGCAGTATGAGGAAGAACAGTTTGTGTCCTTATATGGTACAGAGGAGTATTTGGTATGTTCTTACAGATATGCGATAAGATTCTACATGTATACCAGGCATGTGAAACTTCAGGCTTATGAACTATAACTTAATTTCTCAAAAGATACTATACAATAATGGCATTTTTGTCAGTGGATGTGAGAATTTGTACAGTGAAACTAATATCAAATGAGGTTTTTATTGGCTATCTGAGAACTTTAATGCCTCATACAATAACTGTTTTATAGTATTTTTGTTCATCAACCAGAGTATAAAATGCTTAATGTATGATCCCATACTTTTTCAAAAGATTGCATCTTGATCCATAATGTAATTTTGTAATCACAGCATCCAGATATATATGGTTGTGCTGTCATGCGAGACAAAAATAAGGAGAAAATCTTTGATGCCACTGTGGACCTTTGGAGTTTGGGAGTCACAATCTTTCATGCAGGGACTGGGCGACTACCATTTCGTCCATTTGGAGGGCGAAAGAACAGAGTAACCATGTAAGGGAGAAAATTCATCAATGATGAGTGTTTTGTGAAACAAAAGGACAAGTTGCTCATTTTTCATTAGTTGAATTAATCAGTATTTTAGTAGAATTTCACCACAGCCACAAATAATATGTATTTATAGTCAGGGTATCAATGTTGTGCTTATAGTTATCCATTAGCCATGAGTAGCACATAGATTCATAATTGCTGTATTGTGTTAGTGAGAGAGGGTGTGTGTATTGTGTTTCTCTACAGTTTGCTTTGTGTCTTTAAAACTTGGGAGAACAATCACTGAATCTATTATTAGACTCAGACCTACATCAAGCCATAGATCCAAGTTCAGTGACAAAATCATAGGTCAAGGTTGAAGGTCACAGCAGCTTAATGTTCAGTGTATGCAAAATGTTTCATCTGCAAGAATCTTGAAAGCTTACCTAACCAATTTCTATGAGACTTCATCCAATTGTTCCCCATAAAGGACTCGAAGTACTGCTTAAGTATGAGGGCCATATGTCAGAGGTCCAGGTCACTACAATTGAATGTCAATGTTGGCTTGTCAGTAACCATTCAACACAACCATTTAACAAAAGGACTACACTCAGTTATTCCTTACAGCAGGCTCGTGGTACCACATACTTGTTATTTTCAAAGGTCAAAGGTCATGGCTGTGGAAGCTGAATGCTAGTGTTGTATAACGGTCTCGAACAACTACCTACTAAATTGATTTAGTGATTTGGAGTTCTAATAAATGTTCTTTTCATCAGGTTTTTGGTCCATCTTGAGAGCCAAGATTATGAGTAAAATGTTCACAGCTGAACATTTATGCAATTTATCTACATTAAAAAAAAATTCAACAAGATTAATGAGACTTGATACAGTTATTTCCAATTACCTAAGGGACACTATATGTAATAAGTAAACAAAGCATTTTCTGTGAAAATAGACGTGAAAATGACATTTGTGAGAGGTTGTCCCGCTTTGTGATGCTCTTGTTCATGTTAACTTTAGTGATTTCAATTCATATTTACAGGTATGAAATAACAAAAAACAAAGAACCTGGGTACATCTCGGGAATTCAGCAATCTGAGAATGGAAAGATCGAGTGGAGTAAAGAACTACCTATGACTTGTCGACTATCTCTGTAAGTTAAGGTTCTGCTTCCCAATGTCATTTAAAACTAATTTTACATAATTGAATTACTGGTAAAATGTTTTCTTATAGGCCAATGTCCTAAATATCATATATCTTGATGACTGAGGAAACTTTTACTGTGAGGAACTGGAAAACCAGAAAATCTACTGGCAAGGAAGGATTTTCAAATTCGTTTTTATATATTTCAGAAAGTTTCATTACCCTAATTTTCATTTTCTTTTGTTTGTCAAGAACAGCTGTTTGACACATTGAAATCAAATATGTCACAATAGTTTATGAATTCGTTATGATATATAACATTAGTAGCAACAGTTTTGTTTATTTCAGTTTTGGCTTTGTTAACAAATATTGAATGAAAAATTTATCAATTAATTTAGTTTAAAGGGATTAATTGGTAAGATTTCATTATTTTTTCCCATGTGTTTGATTTTGGTTTAGTATATTAATACTTATAATAAGACTCTTCACAAAATTTTAATGTTGACTTAAAGAAATTGATAAAGATTATCATCTTCAAAGTAATGCTAGTCAACACTTGATGCTGTGTCTACCACTCCTCGCTGTTTTGATCAGAAAAAGCTAAGTTCATCATGTAACCTTTTGCAGCCTCATTTGAACCTGCCATTTTGAAATGATTTCTCACTGTGTATTATTATGTAATTAGTTAAAACTTAATTTGCCAGTCATGTTTCAGTTCTTACTTTGTAACATGACCTCATGTTTCATGCTATGCATGTGACATAGCGAAATGAATGAATTTGAATTTAACTGAATCTAAAATTGCATGCACAAAGACATTGTTTACACTCTCTGAATGACAGTAATATGTATAAGTATTAGGTCTCTTCTATTTTGTTTTAATTTTGTTGACATTAATAAAATGGTTGTGTAAAATTAAAAATATCATAATTAACATTAGGTACACTGTTTTTAACAGATATTTGAATGTTATAATGTTTTTTATCAGTTATAAAATGAATAACCATTTAGTCCCTTTAATTATAATTTTGAAGTTATTTCATAAAATCATATTTATGATTTTCCAAATTTGCCTTTAAGTGAATGAAATCTGGAAAAGGTTATATTAGCAACATACATCTACTTTTCTGTTCAGTATATCCAACGTCTAGCCATCTTATAAAACATGGTTAGTTTTATTACTCTCTCTATTTGAAATTTTGCCTGACTGTTCTATGAAATAAAATGGCATGTAACAAAATACAGATGTAGCATGGTTACATCCCACAAATAGAATTGATCAGTAAAAATACCATATATATGTCTAGTCCACACTTGATATGAATAAGGAATAAGTAATACATTCTGTTTTAAAAAAATTTTTTCCAGAGGATTGAAGATGTTCCTTACTCCAATATTGGCTGGCTTGTTGGAACGAAACGACAGATATAAATTATCCTTTGGAGATTTCTTCTCAAAAGTAGACAAATTGATGTCAAAGATAGTTATTCACACCTTCAGTCCAAACACATGGATGCATATGATGATATATATAGATGGAAACAGCAAGTAAGCATTGTATATCTCATGAACATCATACCACTATTGTACTCTGTGCTAATTACTGATGTTTAAATAAAATCTGATTTGACAACCATTGTGCAACATGATATTGTGAGCTTACAGTTTTATGAGATAACAAATAGCCACAACAAAGTGGTTTTTCGTTAGAAGTGTACAGCATGTATAAAATATTGAAGCAATGCATAAGTTAAAATTCTACTTTTTCATTAAGGTTAATTAGACATATATTTTCACATTTTTTATCAAAAAGAATTTAAATTAGTGTGTTTGGAAGTTTGATTGATTCTTTCTTCCTGCCTAGGTTTATTTGACCCTGTAATTTTTTTTACTTCGTACTAGAATCACCACATTACAGGATTGTATCGCAGAGCAGAGTGACATAGCTATTCAGGACCAGGTGCTCATTCATGATGGGGATCTCTTGAAAAACATTGTCGACAATATGACACCTGTTAAGCAGTATCCAAAGTCTGTTTTTTGTGAAAAGACTCCAATATTTGTGTTTACAAAACATTCTGATGATCTGAGAACTTTTCCCAAATCCTGGTGTCCCGACTTTCCAAAGTTTGGTAGTAGCATGAACATTGCCAATGACCAGCAGTTGGCTAAAATGTGCTGTGGAATACATTTCTTACTGTGCAAGGAAATCGGACGATACCATATGAAAATGGAATTAGAACGACTTAGTGTTCAGAGCTACATGTGAGTGTTTTATTTGTAGTTATGATCTCAGGGGAAGATATGTCTTGATCAGGTATCTTTCTCAATCTTAGTTTTGAAAGTTAATAATAATAATGATATACTGGACGCAGGCTTATTAAGCCTATATATCCAGATCAGAGTTAAAAAGAATCAGTATCTTGAATATGGATCAGTGTGTTATTGTCTAGATCATGATTATAAACACATTTAGTTTGCCTTCAATGTTTATCCAATCAGGATTTGAAAGTTGTCATGGAACTTCTTCTCACTCTTAAGCTTTGCATTTCTTTAAGTTTTGAATCAATCCAAATTAAAAAACATTGGGGCCTGAAAGAAGAGTTGACAGCAAGTATTAAAATTAACAAATCACAAGTCTTTATAATACATAACTTTGATTTTTTCTCTCAGGTAAGAAACAATAGGACATTAATATATTATTACCTGGTTATTGTATTTGTTTCAGACATGAGCTGAAACACGAATGTTCCCATTTGTTGAGTTATGACAATAGACTACGAGAGCATTGTGCATCTGTCCTTACCATGCTGAAAAACTTCATACAGGAATCTCAGCAGAAGATCAAAATGCTGAAGGCTGTACACACTGTAGATCCCTTAAAGCTTGCAGACCTGGAGGAGAAAACAGAAACAAGAACCAAGGAATTGCAGGCTACAGCAGATGAGGTAGATACAAGATTGAAATATTAATCCTAATGTTCTTATGTTCATCCATTTGATGATATAGATAACCTAAATCAAGGATAGTTAGCAATGTCAAGATGAAATTAAGGTAAGCTTATCTGGTCAGTGGCTGTTATACATATACCTCAATAGCTAATTTTTAAGAAAGTCAACAACAAGAAAGTGATTAATAGCCTACTTGGAAGCTGGTATACTGTGATAATAAGCTTGATTAAGAAATGTTAAAAGATATCAGTATCTGATTTATTCCAGTCTTTAGATGCTAATAAGTTTGGTTAGAAACAACTCTATATCAGTTGGCAAGGTTGCAGTTGCCGCTATACCTTAAGACTAGAAAATAATGTATGCTATTATCTTAGAAATGCACTATTGATATTAAATCCTGGTTTATGTTAACAATGGATATTATCATTTAACGTCTAATTCAGATCTACCATCATTTAACCTAGTAGAAGGCAACAATCACTGCCATTTGAAATATCATGAGAAACAGGAAACTAAATTTCATTGATTTATTCTAGATTAAATGTGATCTCAAGAGGATCAAGAAATTTTTATCAAGTTATCAGGAGAAGATCACAAGTAAGGATCTAGAAAAGAGTTGGGACAATGGTATAGGCTGTAAAGATGAACAGGATCGATGGTAAGATTTTCTAGAACTTTGTGGCTGTAAGCTGTGTATAGTCATGAGACATGAGGTCGAGAGAGGTTTTGACATGGTTGAGTCTCTGATTAGTCTGATTAGGTAAAAATTTAATTGACTTTTAGGATTGTGGTCTGCTCTATGAATATTTAAAGACAAAATCATTCAACACAGTATTGCCAATCTGAAGCCATCTTATGTATGGGTCCATCTAGATCAAGAGGGAAGGGGTGCATTGAGAGGTCATTTAGTGAAAAGACCTTATAATTAATTCTATAATATAGTTGTTTCATTTCTAAATATATTTGGATGAAGTGCTATAATATTAAAGTTTACTTGCATATTCAGATTCTGTTTTCGTTTTGCATTCATGGAAAGTGTGCAACATTTACTAGGAAACTTCATGATATTGTCAAACTACTGTAAATTCATATCATAATCCTTAATAAAAAATAAATAATTTATTCAATCAGATGTTTCAATCATGTTGTCATTTGGTCTCCATTACTCATTCAATATTATTGTTTCTTTATACATGATTAAGTTACCCTGGTGCTTTATACTGTACCACTGCAATAGAATGATGACTTTTTTAAACATGTTGTGAACATTAAACTTTTATACCAGTTAATTTTAAACCATAGTGAGCTTATCAGGTTTGCTATTAAAGGATAATTAATGAATTTAGCTGCTTTTGATAATGTATAGAAAGAACCATTCCATTTCTTCACTTCAAAATCACAAGTAAATAATAATGTGACAAGAAATGAATATTTCAAAATGGATATTCACAGCAAGGAGAGACAGGAAGTGACTGTGGAAGTTGTGCAGAGAATTGTTAGACACTTCAAGGAGCACAAACAAGCTCAGTATCTGAGTCGCAGTGAGGAGGATGTACATGCTTTTGAAAGGTTTGTATTAAAGATTTAAAAATAATATACTGTATTGTTATTTACAAGGTAAACGTCATTTTTGGTCAACCATTCATAAAACAGGTTTTTTCTGATTTGTAACTCTTTTTGTTGTTGAGGTGCATCTCATGATAAGGTAACATACTCCTTTAATTTAGCTTACTAGTCTCAGCTTAGCATGTTTGCATTTGTTACAGGAACCAGTTAGAAGAGGCTTGTATCAAGGCTAAGACCCTGATAGAGACATGTGATAGCCGTGGACAGAGGCAGTATGATATGTTCCACAGATTTTATAGGTAATTAGTAAATACATACATGCTCCTCATAATATTGCTAGTGGTGAAGCTGGAGGCTTGATTATTTCCACCAGAGATTTTGTAGTTAATACATGTAGTTAATAGAAGTTCATCTGGAATAAAAATCATTAATCCTGCAACCAATTTTTAGCTCACCTGGCTCGAAAGGCCAAGTGAGCTTAATCCGTGGAGCAGTGTCCGTCGTCAGCTTTTTCCTTTAAACTTCTTCTCAATAACAAATGGATTATATGTTTTGATATTTGGCTGGTATGTTCCTGGGATGAAGCCTGACAAAGTTTGAAAAAAGAAGTGATCATGGCTTCTATTCGCAGTCGCAGAGGTCAAATTTGTTAAAACATTTAAACGACTACTTCCCATGAACTAAAGGGTCCAGGGGCATGATATTTGGCTGTTATGTTCCCAGGATGACCCCCGACTACGTTTGGGAAAAGAAATTACCTTGACTAATAATCAAGGTCACAGGGGTCAAATGTGTTAAAACCTTTAAACAAGTTCTTTTCAGGAACTAATAGGCCTAGAGGCATGATATCAGGCTGTTATGTTCAGAGGATGAAACCAACGACCTTTGGGAAAAGAAATGACCTTGACCATTGTTCAAGGTCACAGGGGTCAAATTTGTTAAAACATTTAAATGACTTCTTCTCATGAACTAAAAGGCTGAGAGGCATATTTGGCTGGTATACTATATATACCAGGTGAGCACTGCAGTCCCATTGGGCCTTTTGTTATGGAACTTGGCACATGTTTAATAATTTAACATATTTCTAGTTTTTCCATTTTCTTTAACTTTACCTGAACGTTGAGCAGAAAGTTTGTTCATCACCATCACATGGACAATAATATCAGAAAAAACTGCAATGTTAACTTCATACAAAATATTTCATGGTGCTGCACCATTATACTTACAAAATTTGCTTCCTCGTATTATAGGAAATGCCCAAAATTATAATTTAAGGACAAATTCAAATATGCATCTGCCAGCAAGTAGGACAAATATCTATGTGAACTCTTTTTTACCTACTGCTATTAGGGAATGGAATGGCATACCAGATAATATAAGAAACTCTCCAACTTTGAACACTTTCAAAAAACACCTCGATAAACAAATTATTAAACCTCTATACTACTTTGTTGGTGAACGCTGGGCTCAGGTACTGCACACTCGTCTTCGTCTTGGATGTAGTTCTCTCAATTATCATCTCTATAATAAGCATGTTTCAGATACAGATCTGTGTGTATGTGGGCAGGTTGAAACTCCTTATCATTATCTGATGCAGTGTGTACGCTATAATCGAGCTAGAGAAAATACCCTAGATACATTAAATTTCAATTTATCACTAGAATTACTCATTCATGGTGACCCAAACCTGTCTCAAGATGATAATATCATTATATTTAAAAAGGTGCAAAGGTACATCGTAAAGTTGGGTAGATTCTAGGTGCTGGATGGAGTTTCTTTGTGCTCTCTTTACCTCTTCCTTTCTCCTATCTTACCAACTTATGTTATCTCCTTATGGTTTACATATTAACGGTCAGTGTTCATCAGGGAATGTTACGTTAAAAAAAAAATCTCTTTCAATGTGTTTAATGTAAATTGTACTATTGTAACTGTTTTATATTGGAGATGGCTTAATATAAGATTCATAATCTTGTTGCCAGATCCATTTTCAATTTTATAATTTGTGTATGTTGTAAATGAAAATCTGAAAATAAAATATTGTTTAAACAAGAAAAAACTGCAAATGATCTATAAATCTATACTCTATATATGGATGTAACAGGGAATAAAGAAGATTGTCAAAATGGAAATTTCCTTTTTCTTGCAATTGGTTTTAAGGTTTTTCAGAATAGTGTTTTATTTACATTGAAAATTTATTCTTTTTAGCAAAGCAGTGAAAACTAGGGAGGAAAATGATTCATTAGACCAGACCTTGGCATCTCTAGAGAAAAAAAGGATAGAATTTGAGAAGCATCTTACAGAGGTTGGAATTGTTTTAGATTTAATATAGTCAAACCTTGAAAATACTGAATTATACATAGTAATACCTTTTCTAAACTGCCTGTTATATAGAACAGCAAAGATTTGGAAAATGAAGTCTGTAAATTTGAGTTGAATCAAGAAAATATCTTTAGAAGTTATATTGTTCTTACATTCTAGTTCCATGTAAGCTGAATGAGTACAATCTTATTTTGATGTTTTTAAGCGTGTCTGCTTCTGCCCTTGATAGGTGTACCTGTATACTGTTTCAGGTCGTAGAGGAGTTAGGTCAGATTTGTATGGAAGTGTTGGAAAGTACAAGGCCTGATCCACTCTGTAGCCGCGGATCCAAATACAAGACTCGTTCTGATACTACTAGAGACATGCGTAGAAATCTTCTGGAAGAGGCTAATATCAGGTGTGTATAGTAGGAATTACTACCAATTTCTGGATTGGATTGAGAATTTGATTAGAGAAGGAAGGGAAATATTCTTTTAACCTTCTGCTACCTCTACTACTTCTGTCATGTCTGAAGTATTTAAATCTGTCAATATCAAAACACTCCACTTGTCGTTGGAATTATATTTGAAATACCTTTGTTAAAAACAATCACGATTATCATATAAGTGACTGTTTGCTACTGTAAATTAACTGATATTGTATATTTGTAGTAATTGATCTGTAAGAATTTTTAATACTTTTGTTTGTAGAAATCATGATTTATCACTAATGGCTATAATTGCTCCTGGAAATAAAGTAGATTTGAGTTTTTATTGAGATTAGTTTTTTATTACAGTTTGAAAAGTGGTTTTGAAGATCTAAAAGAAGATATCCAAAGAAATAGTGACCTGTTAAAGATGAGTGGTGAAATTTTAGAAGAACTGAAAAAGTAAGTATCTATTCATACAGTTTAAAGACAAAATCAACAAAGAGGCTGGACTTTCTAATTAACTATACTCATCTTAATTTTAATGTTTGAGTGGTGTTTTGTTTGCAATGAGATTGCATTTAGTGTAAGTGTTTAAGCTATAGTTTTAAAGCTTTCAGTGATAGGGATCAACAAGATATCCTTTTGCTACACGGTATATTGCCTCACCAGAAGATCTTATTGTTTTTATGTTGTGTGGTATGTATCAATATTTACATTATCTTTTTATATTGCAGCACAAACCCAATTGTTCTAAATGGTGTACATGAGAAACTACCTGGTTTTGGAGCTATTTAACTGAACACTGGAGATTTGGACCAAATCTTCTGGGATAAGCTAAGATAATGTGAACCATAATCACAGCAACATTGCAGAAAAGTTTTCTTTCATCCTAACATACTGACTAAACACTGATGGGAAAGATGACAGAGAAAGTGGAGGAATGCACAAAAGTCACTACAGATGGAGACAAAAATGTGCTGAAGAGCAGAAAATCAGTGCAAGTTGTATGACCATCACTTTGGCATTTGTGAATACCTGGAGCTCTTAGTGACATAAGAAATACATAATGTGGTTAAGTAGGGTTGCCTTAAAGACAAGAAGTGGTTTTTATTTTAATTTCTACACTGTAGAATTTTTATTGTTTGATTTGTGGTTGTGATATTTATTTAGAAGAATTGATCAGCGAGATAAATATTTTAACCAAAACAACCAGGAAAAATGAATATTAATTTTATTTGAGTACATGAATTGACACACTTTCAGATTTTAAGATCCAGAAACAATCTTGACCAAAGGTAAGATTTCCTTTTTTTCTTCAATTTTAAGAGATTTGAATGAGGCTTGTATTCTGTAAAACACTTTAAATGTTGAGTTGAAATTTCCTTATATTTCATGAATTTGTCTGTATTTTTTATGTTATCCAGAAAAAAGACCTTGGAAAATAAACAACAATAAATAAAGTGTAGATTGAATATATGACTAGGCACAAGTGATTTCCAACATGACTACAAACTCAACACTTTATTGTGTGTATCTGTATTTCAGAGTGAATAAAAACACTGTTAAAAAGGAAGATATTACAATGTCCTTCCAGTTTGTAAAATTGACCACATTATAGATATTTCTATTCCAACTGTAGGTGATGTACATTGTGTCCCCAGTGAAATTACATCATTAATATTCTGTCTTAGGGGTACATCTGACATTGTCAAAAAGAACTGACGCTATGTGATTTATGGATTGTTAAACTGTTGACAGTTTCAGACAGTCTGTTTGAAAAGTTGATTTAGACTAGAAATTTCAAGCTTAATATTGAATTTCTTTACAGCCTTGAAAATCATATAAAGACCAGAATTACTTTAGAAATTCAAAATAAAATTTTGTTTTTTTTTTTTTTTAATTTTAAATGTTTGCTTGAAGTGCTAATTTTATAAGATCAACTAGATCCGTGCATTTTTTTTTCAAAAACAGGAGGGCGAAATAATATTTCATAATAAGCAAGATCAAAACACAATACATATAGCTTTGTCCATCTTTTGTATGTATATATTTTCATATCACTTTAATACCACTGAAGTTATGTGGTGTTTGTAAAAGTATAGCAAAATGAATGAGGGAAAATAATTAATTATATAGTACACACTATAACAAGGATGTTTGTGATTCTGGGAATTGTGGGTGTTCTATTGTAGATCTGTCAAATGACTTAATCAAATCAGCCTTATGTTAAAGGAATACACATTTAGTTGAAGCAAACATAATAACATGTATAAGATAAAACAAGATCCAACTTCTAGTCCGGTAGATTTGGTAATATTGGGTAGTATGTGGAAACACGTCAACCATTAAAACAAGATCCAACGTCCGGTCCGGTAGATTTGGTAATATTGGGTAGTACGTGGAAACACGTCAACCATTAAAACAAGATCCAACGTCCGGTCCGGTAGATTTGGTAATATTGGGTAGTACGTGGAAACACGTCAACCATTAAAACAAGATCCAACGTCCGGTCCGGTAGATTTGGTAATATTGGGTAGTACGTGGAAACACGTCAACCATTAAAACAAGATCCAACGTCCGGTCTGGTAGATTTGGTAATATTGGGTAGTACGTGGAAACATGTCAACCATTAAAACAAGATCCAACATCCGGTCCGGTAGATTTGGTAATATTGGGTAGTACGTGGAAACATGTCAACCATTAAAACAAGATCCAACGTCCGGTCCGGTAGATTTGGTAATATTGGGTAGTACGTGGAAACACGTCAACCATTAAAACAAGATCCAATGTCCGGTCCGGTAGATTTGGTAATATTGGGTAGTACGTGGAAACATGTCAACCATTAAAACAAGATCCAACGTCCGGTCCGGTAGATTTGGTAATATTGGGTAGTACGTGGAAACACGTCAACCATTAAAACAAGATCCAACGTCCGGTCCGGTAGATTTGGTAATATTGGGTAGTACGTGGAAACACGTCAACCATTAAAACAAGATCCAATGTCCGGTCCGGTAGATTTGGTAATATTGGGTAGTACGTGGAAACATGTCAACCATTAAAACAAGATCCAACGTCCGGTCCGGTAGATTTGGTAATATTGGGTAGTACGTGGAAACACGTCAACCATTAAAACAAGATCCAACGTCCGGTCCGGTAGATTTGGTAATATTGGGTAGTACGTGGAAACACGTCAACCATTAAAACAAGATCCAACGTCCGGTCCGGTAGATTTGGTAATATTGGGTAGTACGTGGAAACATGTCAACCATTAAAACAAGATCCAATGTCCGGTCCGGTAGATTTGGTAATATTGGGTAGTACGTGGAAACATGTCAACCATTAAAACAAGATCCAACGTCCGGTCCGGTAGATTTGGTAATATTGGGTAGTACGTGGAAACACGTCAACCATTAAAACAAGATCCAACGTCCGGTCCGGTAGATTTGGTAATATTGGGTAGTACGTGGAAACACGTCAACCATTAAAACAAGATCCAACGTCCGGTCCGGTAGATTTGGTAATATTGGGTAGTACGTGGAAACATGTCAACCATTAAAACAAGTTTTAGTTCTTCTTAAGGATGTAGTCTGGTCCTCTGTATTTGAAGTACAAGTTGTTTCCTAATAGTTTGGTTATTTTAGATCAAGGAAACTTACTCATAATTAGTTATTGTGAAAGGGAACTATATCAAAAATTGATTATGTACATATTGACATTCATGTAAATTTAATTATAATTATGATGCATAGTAATTACGAAAGAATTTCTAGGTATATTCATTATGAACGGAATGCTTTGTAAGAGATGGAACTATCCATCTATGAGATGAGTTTAGGTAAATCTGAATTAGATTTATTTAAATGTATATGTTTATTACTAGAGAAAGTTATGTAAATGAAGACGTGTTTCAAAAATTCATTTTTACAGAAATGAATTTGTCCAATGTTTGAAATGAAGGACAGATTAGTATAGTTTATAAATTAATGATAATGAGATGCTTTTGATAGTTGCTATACTGACATTTTTAAACACTTTATTTCTTAAATGTTTCTTGGTGACTAATTGCTTGATATGATGCCGTTCATTAATAACTGTTTAAATTATGGAACTATTGATGTATGTTTAAGATAAAAAAGAAAAAAAAAGAAAAAAAAAAAACAAAATAAAATGATTTACAAATTAGCATTGTATTGTACTTTTGACATTCGACGATGCAGAGATGTATCCGTACCAAAATTAGCTGCATTGCCAGTCCGTGAAATGCAAACAGTCGAAGGAGTATTGCAGTCTGTGTAAACATATTTTGGAATCCTCCTTACAACCAAATGAATATTTGAAATGAATAATGTAAGCGTTGAACTGGTTTTGTCTTTCATTCCCTTGGCAATATGAATGTCAATAGGACCTACTCAAATTCAGCATGTAGCGCTACAAACGGCTTTCGTTGAATTGCACCTTATCCAGTTTTAATACCAACAGTAAAAAAACGATACATTGATATCATGTCGATAATGAATGCAAAACAGAAACGGGGACAACAAAATGTTGATTTGATGATAAACGACAAGCCGCCATTAAATGCTTTTGTCAATTTCATTTGGACATTACTGGATTGGGTAGACGTTGAGACAAATTAAACATGGATTGTGGAAGTGTTCGCTTGTACTAAACTGAATGTTTAAAGTTGTACTGTGTTCTGGCGAGACCAACTGTATACATGATGTATAACAGATATTTGAGACGTAACACAGATGACGAAAGAAGCCAGTTTTGACTAGTGTTCGGTCTGTGCCTCGAAACTCACGATCTACAGCAGCCTAGCACATCAGATATAAAATGTATAACGTATATGTATATGTAGAGCTTGATACGTAATATCAACGGTATGGTCTAAAATTGGTACTGGATCTCGACAAAAAGTTTGTTGGATGTGAATAGATATGATCAATGAAGTGAAACGACAACAAGGACAAGTAATTGTCAAATTTTGGAGGCAATCTGTCTCTTTATCTTGATATATCAAGTATGTTACATCAAACAGACAGCTTTCAAAAGTAGCAAAAAACCCATTTTGGTTAAGATGGTTTTTCACTGCTTTAAAGGACCTTTCGTGTCCACCCATGGACTTGGAATAGATTCCATGTCCATGGATGGACACGAAAGGTCCTTTAGAAGCAGCGAAAAACCATAGATTCCAAGTCTGTGATTCAACAATTTGAAGCGATTACTGATATGTTTTATATTATTGACTATTGTTTGTAACATTGCCTTTGTTTATTGTTCTATGTATGTGATGTAACTTAAGTAATATTGTTTATCTTGGTACATTCTGTAATCTGTAAATGGCAGGTTGTCTTGAATATTTGACATTTTACTTGTCCGTAATGGCGTTATCTGTTGATTTATATACTGTTTAACCAGACTATCAGCTTCAGATCCTAATGCAACGTATCAGAGTAATCAAGACAATGCTATTGAATGGAGCACAACAAAGTGGTCTTTATTATCAGGTTTGAAAAGCCCAAAACCATGTGCCGAATAGTGTTGGAAACGTTGGTAAGGCGCAGTGTATCTGGAATAAGTCTGTATTTTGGAAAATATCTGTTCTGTATGAATACAAATAAAGGGCACCTTTTCACACAAATTTAGACTTAGATACAGCGGGGTCAAACTGTTAAACTTTGTTGACTCATCAGTGATGCTAAGGGCCTATACTTTGAAGCATTGACAATTTTAATTCAGAGGGCATCGAATGGTAGCCATTGACACATACAAATCTCTTAAGATGGTACTGGACAGTTTTTAACAATGCGTCAAAGAGGACACACACTATAGACACTTCCAGACACAGATCACCATCAACCTTGTGCTGACTAAAGAGAGGGAAATAGTAAGGGACATTGGGGTAAAGCTGCTAACTTAAGTGCCGAGAGGCAATAGTGAATATTAACAAAACAAAAACTATAGGACCGCATATGTTTGTAGAAGTGTGTAGTCAGAACCCAAAATCTACAAATGGATTCGGATTCGACAAAAGATGAAGGAATTGTTAGTAAAGGAAACAAAGAAAAGACTGATCTTCTAAACAAATACTCTGCCAGCGTATTTATGGATGAAAAGCTTATTCTATGAAAGGAAATCTAATACGGAACTTTCAGACATAAAATAAGAGAGATATTATGGTTGAGGAAAAATAAATGCAATCCAAATCTTACAATTGCTAGGTGCTAATTGTATCCTTCCAAAAATCATCATTGATATGTGCAAAAATAAACATGATCTCTCAAATTTCCAAAAATATTGATTTGCATAAGGTGAGAATTCAATCATCTAAACAAAGAAAGCATCTCTAATAAGAGTATCTATTAAAAGAAATAAAGAAAATACGCCATTGCACTTTACAGATGTTGTCAAGATGATGCATGCATACTTTGAATTGAAAACAGCTCAAAAATAACTCCAATGCCAACTTTTAATATTCATTTTCATGTGTGAAACTTAAAGAAAATCTACCATTTAAAACACCAAATGTACATCCCACATCTTAATTGATTGATGTTAAATTATAATTAATATTGATTGTTTAAACGTCTGTCTTACCGCACTGCAATAAAAGCCAACATACTCGACATTTGAGTGTTTCTTGGCAATATTTTTGATACGATGTTTTGTTAGTGTGATCACGGATTTAGAATATTCAAAAGTTGACTTTGTGGACTGTTTTATTATGAGAATGTATATGCCAATCGTATGAAAGACCAAAACTATATTGTGTTGCAATTAGTTTGAGGTAAATCAACAACTTTAATGGATTAGAATAGGTCTAGTTCTGACAGGTCGTCAGCAAGTAACTTCAATGTGTGTATGACACTGTTCAATGTGTATATGGCAGTGAAAATAGATATTAACATATTTTACAGTTTTCAATATATATAATTTTTTCAGGCAGTTGTGTATCCGTTCATAGGCTGAGATTGGTCTTACTTTCAGTTTACATATGGTATGCACTACTGCGCAATGCATGTAAGTATTGTGCATGCGATTTTATTATTCTTTACATCCAAAATAAGTTATTTTGCTTTTCTGAAAATCATCAAGTCTTCTCCTTAAAAAATCTGAACAATATGAATAAAACTTATTTCCCTCTTTTGTTATCAGACAACATGTACGTTGATCAAAATGTAAAGTTTCGTTTCGCTTGATTTCACACCATTTGCGACTTCAACAAATTCGTAAGCTCCGTATGACGATCGTGGCCTCCTTTCATTGGTTGATAAACACTGACATGGCAGTCGATGTACACAATCGCCCACATGTAACGTATCAGAAAATGGCCTTATAACGATAAGTCTATGATACACTCGATAATCGGATGTTCTGATGATTAGATATATACCATCAGATTAGACTGTAATTTGTACATTGATGAAGTTTAATAATTCGTCGTACTTATCGGGAAAATAAGGCTGGAAGTGAGGCCGCACCGCCTCTACCGGTTTGCGTAATATTTGGACTTATTTAGACATTTTTTTTCGACAATTGCAGTTCGAAGAAATTTCTGTTGAATATGGATATGACATTGATATACAAGGTTTTGGCGTTATTAATAGCCATCAGCTGGAACGACCTGGAAGTGCTGGCGGAAAAGTCAAAATGTGACACATGTACCGCTATCGTAAACAATTTCGAGAAGGTAACACAATGTGCATGCCTTATTTGTATCACGGACTTAGATATAGATTTATATCTAAGTCGCTTTTTGTAATTATCTACAATGTGCAGTGTACATATTACATACACGATGTACAATTGCATGAAAACAAAAAAAATTATTTATCAGTGACTTGAAGTATTTTTAGTTAGTAAGTTTTTATTTAGTGAAAATGGAAAATACATGAAGAGAATGTATAGAATACAAAACTACCATAGTCTGTATCATGGAATCTGTCATATATCCCAAACTGTTTGTTTTTGTGTACATGTGAATATGTGCCTGGTATGTTTGTCCTGAATGTCAAATAAGCTGTAAAATACTGTAATAGTGTACATCTTTAGACATTATCCATAGTATATATGTTCAGGTCAAAAAGGTCTGAAAGAAAATTATGACAAATAAAAGAACAAAGTTGTTTAACAATTCACGTGTAAAATTGAATGTGTTTAATGTAACTGACACTGTATTTGTAATTCATTCAGGGGTTGAAAAAAACAGCAAAATCCAATTTCGGAGGAGGAAATACTAAATGGGAAGAAAGTCGTTTAGGAAGTTTTGCTACAAGGTAAATACATTTTCTCAATTTCAGTGTTATTATGCAAATGTATGGTATATCATATATATAATGTAGACCATCAATATTACAAATTTTAGGAAGTTTTGCTACAAGGTAATATATTTTCTCCACCTTAGTATATGGAAGCATTATATTAATGCCACATACAAATGTACCAATTTTACAAATTAAAATACAAGTGCTGATCAAGAAAAACTGGAGACATCATCAAACTGATAAAAGTAATATGAGCAGTAACTCTCTTAAATAACTCATTTTTTGTTTCTTAAACTCTTAACTTGATCTCAATTACCTCCAAGGTGTCATATTAATGTTTTGCTATGTTTTCATTTTTTAGTGAGACAAGACTTGTAGAAGTAATGGAAGGTCTTTGTGAAGGTGAAGATAAAAATGTAGGTGTTTTGTTTTCTTATCATTTACTTTTAATCCTGTATTCTAGATTATTTTCATTCAGTGTTCCATTTTACCTGTTGAATACTTTTTTTGTACTTAATTTACTGGTCCCTTTTGTTTTGAATGTGGTCAGTTTAGAAATATTGAATTACATATACACTAGTGCAAATTATCTTGTTCAGTAGGAATTTTTACTATACATGTACATTGACTATTTACAAATGTAACCCTGGTAAAATACTGGCCGCAATATACCACTTGGCTAGAGAGAACTTCTCTTTAGCTCGATTGGTTGAACGTCAGACTAGTAAGCCAAGGGTCCCGGGTTCGATTCCTAGCGGAGGCATTGAGATGAAAAATGACCTATTACATTGGTGCCCATGTAGGGACCCGGGAATAGTACTTAGCCATGCCCCACCAGCATCGCTGTAACCCCTGGAAACTCGAGGACGAGTTATTTCCTGGAGGGGTAGTATGTAACCCTGGTAAAATACTAGCCGCAATATACCACTCGGCTAGGAAAAACTTCTCTTTAGCTCGATTAGTTGAGCGTCAGACTAGTAACCCAGGGGTCCCGGGTTCGATTCCTAGCGGAGGCATTGAGATGAAAAATGACCTCTGTTACACAAAGTATGGATTAGGAAAGAAATCCACATACATTTATGGCATTCATGAATAAATTAATTAAACTTCAGTCTGTATTTACATAAAGACATGTTTTACATGAAAAATTCCACAGAATCTAACTGTTTGATGTTATGAGGATTTTTTGTAATTCAAGACATCAAATTCCATGAAATCTCAAATTTGCTGTGGTGATATATAACTTACAAAAATGTTTGTAATTTTTTCATTTGTATTAAGTGTCACACTATACTTGAGGAAAATGAAGAACTTATAGAAAAATACTGGTTCAGTTTTTATGCCAAAGGATCAGATGAGGACATGAAGATGTGGCTGTGTATAGTCAACATGAAAGGTAAAATGTCATCCGTGATTTACCTTATTCTCAGATACATTTTAACTGTGTTATTCTGTAACCACTCACTGCTATCAAACAACAAGTTCAAACTAGTTGTCAACCTGTGGCAAATAGGAGCAAATATTTATACCAGTATATACATAGTGCAATGTAGGAAAAATGTAAGATACTATGGTTTACAGTAGTATCATATGTTGATTATAATATTGGATTAAACTGCTTAGAAAGAAAATCTGCCAATATGTTCACATTCCCCATGGCAGTACTTTATATAAGCACCATCAAAACAAACTGCAGTTATTGGATTGTAAATACATTTTGCCATTTGATGTTTATTCTTCTGCCATGTCTCATAAATATGAGTCCAAAAATAGAAGCAGATGATATTAGATGATTTATAAGCTGTGTTTGGGATATTGCTAGTACTGAAGACACAGGTTGAAGCCATTAGCTTTTGAAAATTTCTTCTGAAAAAAAAAAAAATCAGATTTTAATACATATGATGATACACTTAACATCTAATGGTGTGAAAAATAACCATGACTATGGTGAAAAAAAAAAAACGAAAATCCAAGATAGCCTTTATCAAATAAAGAAAAATATAATTTGACCTAGATCCAAGCAGTAACTTTTGTTAGTACCCATGATACCAAATTATACTCTGCTAGTCACTGACATCTATACGTCAGGAATTTCATGCACGCATCTAATTCTGTCTGCAGATGACTTTTTCTTACAAATTTAGGAATTCATATTTACAACAATAGACTTACAACATCAAGAGACACTCTAGATGGAATTAGGTGTCCATCAGTCAAAATTCAATGATCTCTAGGCTCCTTCTGAAATGTCCTAAAGAACCCCTCAGCAGGTTAAGTTAATATTTACACCTCTTAATATCACACCCCGAAGTTCTACACTTGATTAGGTTTTTGTGGTAATTGATTGACTTTAAAGGCTTAAAGGTCTTGTTTGATTACTCTCCAGATAAAGAGGTCAATGTAAGGGAATGATGGTGATACCATTAGTGTATGCAATGTATGTCAAACGAAGTATTGAAGTTATCTCCCTTATACCAACTATTGTATGAAGTCATAACTAAGTGTTACTAACAGTAGAGAGATAACAAAAGTTTGGCTGATGAACCTCATGGGCTTCCCTAGGTTACAAGAAGCAAATGTGTTTGACTATTTAGTTTTCTTTTATTTCATTCAGATAAACATCGATGCTCAGTGTTTGAAAATTAATTTACAATTTTATATCAATGTTGTATTTATCAACAGTTTGCTGTCCAGAAAATACATTTGGCCCCAACTGTAAAGAATGTCCTGGGGGTAAAAAGCGGCCCTGTACAGGAAATGGCAACTGTGAGGTAAGTTATTTACATACAAAGGAATACCTAACTGTATTTGTCTACAGTCTATACTTGTCCATCAGTCAGTCCATAAACAATTCTCGTTGTTGCTTTTTCATGATTAATACTGAATAGAACTTTTTCTTTGCTGTATTTGGTTCCAATGGTCCTAGGTTGTGCAAGAAGAGTTTTGAGACTGATTGAAAAAACAACAAACCAATAGGCATCCATTATCGGTTATGAGAGTTAAAGATTATTTTTGCTATTTCTTGATAAGTACTAGATGGATCCGTCTGAAATTTTTATGAGGGTTCTCCTTTTTCCTTAGTTGTGCCTATACAAATTTGAGTCTTTGTGGGAAACAAAATGGATGGACAGATATGGCCTTGTTGGAGTATTGCAGTGTTAGTTTGTTATTGCTGTTTTTATTATGGGACTTGTACTAGATGGATCTTTCTTATATTACAAATGAAGTTTCCCTTGATCTGTAGTTATACCTATTGAAAACTGAACAGGAAACAAAATGGCTGACACACAGCGATTTTGTTTTGTTGCATCTATCAAGGTTGCCATTACTATTTGTCAGGATTGGTCATCTTAAAATTTGATATGCAAGATTCCAATTATTTTATCACAGAGTGACTGTAATAAAGCAGGAAAGGAAAAGTGAAAAAGAAAGTTAAAATACAATAAAATCTACACAGAACCAATAAAGGTCATCTGATCGTGACTGCCAAGATCAATATATCTTGTATTTAATCGCATGAAAAACATTTTCATATGTTTATTTTTTTAAATGTTGATTGATTTTACCGAATTGTTTATGGAAATTACAGAATGATTTTTTAAAAAGTGTTATTGCAATGGAAAAATGACAAGACATCAAATTTTGTTTGAATTTTCAGGGAGGAGGCACACGAAAAGGCACGGGGAAATGTAACTGTAACACAGGTTATGAGGGAGATTTATGTGACAGTTGTAAAGATGGATATTTTGAGGAAATTAAAAATGACACCCATATAGCTTGTAAAGGTAATTTATTTATATAAAAACTTCAAAATACATGTAGTTGTAGCATTGTACAAAATTTTGGAATTTCAGGGATACGTATACGAACTGATCTATAAAATGTACAAGAATGAACACCTGTTTCAGTGAATAAAGGAAATGTAAGATAAATAGTGGTAATGATAATTACATTTATAAGTAAGATAGAATTGGAAAGGAGAAGTTTTCTTGTCTCATGCTAATTAGCTCTGAAAAAAAAAGCGGTATAGGACCCTTGATATTGGCAGTATTTTCTTTGACAAAAAACTGTGAAACTTGTGTCATAACAGACATAAGTTTGTATCTTTTGTCCAAAAAGCAAGTAGAAGTGTGATTTTTTTTCATAGTGAAAACATTCTGAAGCATAACTGTTAGAGGTAGTGTTGTGTTCATATAGGATTTAGTGATCATCATTATTTGACAAAAGGTGAAAAGTGACTACTTGATACCATTGAAAATATTTTAAGCACTAATCCTGATTGGTATGTACTATTGCAAATCAATCTATCGTAGGAAAAATTATAGACAACATTACAGTTTAAAAAATAAGCAATGAATATGTAATGAAGCAGGCTAATCATAATTACAGATTTGGTCAAAATCACGTTATGATTGATAATATTTAATATTTCTCTAATTGCAGGTTGTCACCGATCCTGCCAGTCAACTTGTTGGGAGGATGGGCCAAAGGGTTGTGATGACTGTAAAACAGGATACACACAAACAGAGGAAGAGGGATGCCAAGGTAGACAACTTCATCGTGTGCATTTTCTGTCTTCAAAAAAAATTTACATCTAATGTTTTTTAAGGCATCAAAATTTAAATGCCCTTTTTAAAGTAAAAATAATAATTTGCATGCCAGAGAAAGAAAATGGCAAATTTATGTATTGTAGTATATTAATATTTCAAAATTGATCTCTGCCAAAACAATACCAAAATATCATATAAACTCTGTTTCTATTATAATTCAGATATTGATGAATGTTCAGCAGAAACGTCTCCATGTGAGAAGGGAAAATACTGTTCCAACTCTGAAGGATCTTACTTTTGTACCTGTAAGTGTACTACATGTCATTAGCATTTTCATTCTTAAGGAAATTTTGGCCTCCCCAGTTCAGAATTTTTTTCTTTTTTTTTTTTTTTTTTTACATTTTTAATACATTTAGTATTTAGTTATTGAGTGTAGAAATTTACAGTTTAGTCCTGTATCCTTGCACACATGTCTGTCATGAAATAGTTACTAGCTTTAATGTTTGTTGAAAGAACAGACAACTTGTACTGTATCCTGACCAGTGGACCAAGTAAAGATTAAGTTATCAAAAAAATATGATATTAAGGCTAGTTTCTGTATTTACATCATATTCAGGTATTTGGGATAACATGCATTAATAATTGGCATATGGATATCTGACATTGGTGGAGTAGAAGCAAACTAGCAGATAAAACATTCAGCTTGTCCAATTACTTAAAGTGCTTTTTGAAAACTATATCATCTTAATGCAATTATTAATCATTAAATGTAGAATTTAATATCGGAAACATTTCCTTTGATTTTAAAAGAGTGATGGAAACACCTAAGAGTTTTAGATAATCATGAAAGTTTGAAATAAAATGGGTGAGTGTTTAGTTAAAGGGTAAGTGTTTGTTAACATGGCAGTGTCATGTAAACAATTGGGTGTTAGATCAACAATTAGGTGTTAGATAAATAATTAGGTGTTAGATAAACAATTAAATAAACAGGTGTAATTAAACAGATAGATGTTAAATTAACATATGAATGTTTGGTAAAAATGTGAGTGGTTACTTACAGCTGAGTGTTAGGTAAACAAGTGAGTGTTAGATACAGAGTATACGGTATTGATCGCTGAGACACCGGAAGCGCTACAGAAGCTTTTAGACGCACTTCATATCTACAATCTAGAATGGGAATTAAAACTTAATGTTTCAAAAACGAAAATTATTGTGTTTCGTAATGGTGGAAACATAAGAGATGTAGAAAAGTGGACATATGATAATCGAGTAATCGACATTGTAAATGAATTTTATTATTTAGGCATTTTATTAAATTATAACGGAAAATTTAATGCTACACAGAAACACGTAGCTAACCAAGGAAGGAAAGCTTTATTTGCAATAAATAGTAAATTTAAGAATAACAGTTTTAATGTGACAACAAAATGTTCCGTTTTTGACACATATGTCAACAGTATATTGGAATATGGATGCGAGGTATGGGGCTTCCACAAAGCATTAGATATAGAAAACTACATACTCGGTTTTGTAAAGAATTACATGGTGTCAAAAATAGAACAAGTAACGATCTTGTATATTTTGAACTCGGTAGACTGCCACGTTCCGTAAATAGAAAACTGAAAATCATTAAGTATTGGTTAAAACTTAAAGTAACAAAAAATTGTATATTGGCCTCGTGTTTAGAGCAATGAATGATGATGAATGATGAATGGTTAAATAATATTAAACATGAACTAGATAAACTTGGTATAAATAACAATATGTATAACACTATTGAACAAAGACTTAAAGATTGTTATGTACAGGAACTGAGAGAGAGAATTGATAACTCCTCTAGAGGTTGTTTATACAAACGTATGGTTGATCATTTCTGCATGCAATATTACATTTTAAAACCTATTGACGATGTGTATAAACAGTGTATAACTAGAATCAGGTTGTCTTCACATCAGCTAAAAATTGAATATGGTCGTTTTCATAATATTGAAAGAAGTAGAAGAATGTGTGAATGTTGCCAGAATGATGAAATTGAAGATGAGTTCCATTTTATTTTACAGTGTCCAGTTTATTCTGAAATCAGAAAAAAATATGTAAAAAAGTATTATTATAAGTCACCAAGCATTTTAAAGTTAATTAATAAGTACAACTATTAAGTGTAGAAAATGTAAAGCAATTGACTAACTTAGGAAAATATATACATTCTGCGCTGGAAAAGAGAAAAGAACTCCTCAACTAGTTCATACAGTATATTATCCTATTATATATGTATACATCCGATATATTTTTGTTTTCTGTATACTTTGTACATGTACGTGGGTCCTCTCTCCAATGTTCTTGATATTATGTCGTCATTGTATTAAATATGTAAACTTATGGACCGTAACGTCCTTTGAATAAGATTGAATTGAATTGAGCATTAGGTAAACGCATGTGTGTAAGGTGAAGCTGAGTGTTAGGTAAACAAGTGAGTGTTAGGTACAGAGTTGAGAATTAGGTTAACAAATGTATGTCAGGTGAACAGCTGAGTTTAAGGTACAGCTGAGTGTTAGGTAAACAGGTGAGTTATAGGAATTTTAGATAAACAGTACATTGGGAAAAAATAAAAAAATGCATATGTTTTTTCTACATGCACACATCAACATTATTTAATTCAAGGATCAATGTTTAATTTTTTCAGCTTGCCATGATTCTTGTAATGGCTGCACAGGATTTGGAGCAGATAAATGTATAGAATGTGAAGAAGGTTATAGACTGGAAGAAAACAAATGCCTAGGTATGAATAGTGTACTTAGTCATGTGCTGTTTGGTTGTTATGTTCTTTTTTCATATATTTGCCCCCTCCCCTCTGGTTAAGGGGTTATGTATGAGTATACATGTTGCTTGTTCAACTGATATGGACAAGCTGTGGTATCCTTAGACAATATACATGTTCATTTCTTTGCCTGTTCCAGTGGACCCAGCTGTTAATGAGTATGTGGCTGGGCAGTGTTGAAAATGTTGTGTATAAACTGTTCGTGCTATTCTAAGCTGGATGCTCGAATGGAGTTGAGAGAGAAAATTACTTTGATTACTATTAGTTAAAACGGGTCACAGATGATAATTTGTGAACCATTAGGAGACAGTTATATTACTGTGATAAATTGTTATTATAAATCCCCCTTAGTACCATGTGGGGCCACGGTGGCCATGTGATTAAGTTGTCTGACAGTCTTTATCACTAGCCCATCTTCTCACGGTCATGGGTTTGAGGCCTTTGTGGAACACTCGCTAGGAACTGGCGGCAGGTCACTGGTTTTTCTATTGGTACTCCACTGCTCAAATCTGGCACATCTTAAATAACCCTTGCTAGTTAGTAGGAGGTACAGCAACAATAAACCAAACTACCCTTCAATAGCTTTAAAGTAAATATTAATAAATTTTTAACAAAACCATAAAATACCTGAACTGAAACAAAAGAATTTGTAAAAGTGAGGATATAATTGTGGTTTAATATATTTATAACCATGCACATTTCATGTTACAGCTAATTCGACCATACTAGCTGTTGCATAATGTTATATAATACATTCCACTGCATAATGTGCTACTATGTTAAATATTTCTTTATTTTGCCACATGCAAATTTTTGCTATTTTGTGTTAAACTGGAATATTTGACATTAGCGGTGTCATATTTTTGCCATTGAATAGCAGGGACTAAAATTAGTCAAACTCTTTCTCGGTTACAGTTCTAATACTGGTGCAAAAGGAACATTAAACAGTATGTATCATGATATTGTATTTAAGATCCCGGTTCTTTCTTGTTTTGATCAGTTTTCTGTGTTTCAGATATAAATGAATGTACAGAGGAAGGATCGACAGATATATGTACAGGAGAACACAGAGTTTGTGTGAATCAGGAAGGCTCATTCTCTTGTGACTGTGATAAAGACTATATTGAGGAGGATGGACAGTGTATCGTCAAACCACCAGGTACTTAATCTGTTTTTGTTTTTATGTTCAAAGATGCCTTTTGGCTCTGGTTGCAAAGGATAAGTATTGTAATCTATTGTCGTTTTATTTCATTTGTTGTATCAGCTTAATTTAAGTTGATTTTTTAAGTAGGTGTCAGTTTTAGGGCAAGATTGTACCTCCAGACTTTTTGTAGTCTTCAACAAATTGTTTTTGTATGATCAAAATCAATTATTTAATATTGCTGTCTCATGTCCAGATTACAATAGCATGATATCATGTTGTTTACAAAGCTTTTGTTTCTTATTCTTCACCAGCAATGACATAGTTAGAAGCCAAGTGGTATATAAGTGAATTAGAGTGCACTCTTGTGGAAATCTGCCATTCAGGAGAATTAAGTTGTCTGGAGTAATGCTATTCATTCTCTCAAATAATTTATAAAACTTTATACACAGAATCAATATTCAAAGTGAACATTTATAATGTTTTACTCTAAAATCAGGTATTTTGTTAGGTATTAGTTTTCATGTTTTTTTTCTCAAAAAATACTTTTTCCGAGGTACTTGATTTTGTCAGAGACGTATATATCACAAAAATAATTTAGTTAAAGACTTACCTTAGATCGAGTGACAAGTTGACACTACTGACAAATACACATGGTCCAGACAATCGGCACCTTTGTCGTTATGAAGCACAGACTTTGCCCACGTGTGTATCGCTGTCAAAACATGCCGGTCAAGGGTGACAACGCAGGCGCAACAGCCAAATCTCGCGACTGAAAGCTTCCGCTCAGATAACAATAGGGTCATACGTGATGTTACGAGATTTGGGCTAGTTTCATATCTCTGTGATATATACATCTCTGATTTTGTTGATAAATATAGCTAAAAATATGCTCATATACTAATTGTAGCAGTTAATGGATGTTCAAATTAATGGATTAAAAGTGCCTACAAAATTAAAAATGAAAATAAAATCTCCTATAAAGATTATGATTTCTTAGCATGTTCTAATTTCTATTTGCTTTTCTCAAGAGTTATGTACCTTTTATGGAAGTCTTCTGTAATAATTTTCAGAATCAACTTTTTTTTAAACTAAGTACCGATGTCATATCATATTTGGATCCCCCATCAGAAAAGGATCCGGATCATTTTTCTTGCCATCAGAAAATCAGAAAATGACCCCCCCCCCCCCACTATAGTATTTTGATCCCCCTTTAGAGAAGTTATATTAGCAATGCATGTATGCATATATTTAAGGTGATAGTGAAAATATGATGATAGGTGTTATGTTAGCTGTGAGGTTGTTAATTACACCTGGCCAACCAGTCAATTACATAAGAGGATTAAGGGTAGAGGGGTCAAACCTGAGTGAGCACCCATGTGCACATGGTAGGTATATTTGAATCTGACACATGAAAAAAAAACACACTCATGTTATTTCTTTACCTTTTTCTGTTCAAGTTTCCAAAAACTTCAGAATTGGTAATGTTTATTACACAGTTAAATTATCAATTTGGGTTCTTTTCGTGTAGTTCTAAATATTTCCATCCATCAACTCATAATTCTCCATTGAATCCATAAATTTATTTACCATGAAGTATATTTGGGACAGGTTATATATAGAGTAATTATATATGCAGTCATCATTTAAGCCCCTGTCAATCACTACCTGTACAGGGTAATCTGGAGCTTGACCTCGTCAGCCTTGGCTCCACCGGTGTTATGTAATCACACCTGTACAGGTAACCCATGTATCAGTGACCAAGTCCCAGACACAGTTACCTATCATATCTCATTTTATTTATAAAGCTATAAAGTTTAAAATAAAATTCACAAGGGGGATCAAAATACTATAGGGGGGGGGATCCTTTTCTTATGGGGGAAAAGTGATTCCCGGGCCCTTTTCTGATTAGGGAAAAGTGATCCAGATCCTTTTCTGATGGGGGTTACAAATATGATATGATACCGGTAGTTGGAATATTAGATAAGTACCTTAATTCAGATTAGTTTCCTGAGGAGTTATATGCCTCTCTGTTCACTTTATATGCTCACTTGTGGAAGTTGGCAGATGTTTAGTCAATCTTTGTCTTACAATTATGGTTTATGATCAGTGTTGCTAACTTTTAAAGTTTATTGTGTACTAGATACTGGTCTCACACATAATGCAGTTTGTGAAAGTCAATAAGACTGATTGTTACTCAGTGAATTTATTGTTAGCTAGAAATTCTACAAGATAAGCTGAACCACAATTTTAGTCCATGAACTTATCTTGATTAAGACTAATGAAAATTAATTCTGAAATGTGATTGTAGTGTCTATATTTCAATTGAACAATAACTATAAATTAGCTGGGTCTTCTATTTCCAAATAAATTTTGATGTTTAAAATTTCCTTAGCTGTATGTAACTTAACAATTCCTAATAAATTAGGACACCATATGATAAGTGTGATTTTGTAAGAAAAAATGTCCTGTCAGGTTTAAAAATCACGTGAAAGGAAGCCATTAGATTTCTGAAATTTCAGACTCTTATGTAAGAGTGCATATTAAAATTTAATTACCCGCTGAACACCTTTGGGAATATTAATTTTGATTGTGTGCGTGCGTCCATCCGTCCATCCGAGGGCTGTTCCAGGCTATAATTTTAAAACCACTAATTCTACTTCACAAAACTTGCTGTATATATTAAGCTAGTGGTATTTTTTCTATGGAAACATGGTCAAAAAACACCAAAATTAGTGTTTACTTCCCTTTCCCGGCTACAACTTCGAAACCATTCCACTCAATTCTACAAAAAAATTTCTGCATATATTATTAGGTTAGTGCCCTAGTTAAATTTTTTTTCTGTTACCATGGAAACAGTTAACACTCATCACAAATCTGAGATTTTCTGGACCAGTGCTCTGAAACTGTTCGAGATAATTGCCCAAAACCTTTTTACTCATATTAAACAAGTAGTATCTTTTGCTATGCAGAATTTCTCCATTTAAATGCATTTTCTTAAACCATGGAAACAGACAGGCCAAATCACAAAGTTCAGTTTTTTCATACCAGTTCTCTTAAACCATTCAAGGTAATTATCCAGTATTCAAACCTTTGTATAGACATGAAGCTACTTTAGTAGAAGTCCACCATTTCAATACTTTGTATATAACAATTGAAAATAACAAATAGAAATTAAACTTGTAAAATTAACATATGTGTATGATTGTGTGTTTTTCTTTTAAACAGCGGGGTGCGGGGAATAATGTAACGCTTTGCATTATCTTGTTAAAAGTTGAACACAATACTGTGTTTGTATTTAAGTGATAAGTCAGGAAAATTTGTTTTTGTATCATAAAGGTTGAAATTTCAACTTAATTAAATGAATTTAATTCAAATTTTAATTTTAATTTGAATTTATATAAAATAAATACCTGACTTATCATGCTTGATTTTCTATTTATTGTAATATTCTTTAAAGGTGTTTTTTAAAGCTAATATGCTTCATAGCCCTACCCATTTTACTAACAAACAATAACACTATTGAAGGAGCAAGCATGTTAATGTTGTGTGGAAATTTCGCATGTCTTGTCATATTCAGTGTTGTGAATTGATTGTTTTGTTATCGCTATGTTGCATGCGTTATCAGGTTGTTTATGATACAGTAAATCAGATACAGGTATAGGGTATTTATAATGAAATTGTTGTGATGATAAGATCGTTCAAGGTATGTAACTTTATACTCTAAAAACATTTATTTTTGTTGACGTTTTAATTTCTGTTGATTTCATGTTACTCTTACCTTACAATTGACATATTCATGTTCACACAGATAAATTTAACACAAATTTACATGGAACACTCCAAACCCCTGTCCCTTTGAAACAAATAATTTTACTAGAATATGGTAAGGATTTAGTGTTAAATTTGTATTGATTGTGGGATTTGAAAGTGAGAGTTAAGAAAGGGGAATATAGTTTATGTATGAATGAGAACAGTGCCTTAAAGAGAGTTATGGTATGGATGGATGGCAATGATGACTGTACATGTTCAAGACTTTCAGTCTGATGTTACCAAATTCAGCAGAACTGATTTCAAAATTGAATTAAGGTGAATTTATGGCCATTTCTTATATTGGTGATTTTGTAATTCATTACAACTGTTAATGGATTATTGAAAGATAAATTAAAACCCCATCAAATGTATTATTGCAACATTGTTTTTTCCCTCAAAAAAGTCTATAAATTGAGTATATTTTTTCACTGAAGAAAATCCATTTTAGAAGAATGATTTTGAAAAAGTTTGATTTTAAGGTAAAAATATTAAAAAAAATTCTGTATGCATTTTAGTTCTGCGTCTGATGTCCATCCGTCCGTTGTCTGTCCTACTGTCAATCATCTGTCTGTCTGTAAACAATTTTTGTTATCACTGTTTCTTGAGAAGTACTAAATGAATCTTTTTCAAATTGTAGATGTAGGTACCCCTTGGTCCCTAGTTGTGCCTGTTTGATTTTGGGACTGAAAAAAAAAATCTGTTACAGACAGCCATCTTGGATTTTTTCAATAAAGTTTGTTATTTTGTTAAAAGTAAGGACGGATCTCTCTCAAATTTCATATGTAGCTTCCCTTTGGTCTCTTATTGTGCCAATGGAATTTTGGGACTGATCAGAAAAAACGAAGTGGTCGAAAGATTGCCATCTTGGATTTTGACTTTGAAAGTTTGTTATTGCTTTTTCTTGAGAAGAACAGGATGGATCTTTCTTAAATTTCCTATGTCAGTTCCCCTTGTTCCCTAGTTGTGTCCGTTTGATTTTGGGTCAGATAAAAAAAAATGGCTGAGAGGTTGACATCTTGTTTCTTAACTTTGAAAATTTGTTATTGCTATTTCTTGAGAGTTAATCTTCAGATCTTTATCAAATATCATGTGTATGCTTTCCTTCATCCCAAGTTGTGCCTGTTTGATGTTGGTACTGATCAGAAAAAACAAAATGGCCCACAAGTGGTTGTCTTGGATTTTGACTTCGAAAGTTTGTTATCACTATTTCTTGAGAACTACTTTAAAGATCTTTCTCAAATTTCATGTATAGGTTTCTTTAGGTCATTAGTTGTGCCTATTCCAGTTTGGGACTGATCTGAAAAACAAAATGGCTGAGGCAGCCATCTTGGATTTTGCGTAGTAAAGATTGTTGTTGCTATTTCTTAAGAAGTACTGAATGGATGTCTCTCAAATCTGATACGTATGTTCAGTTCGGTCTGTCCTTGTGCTTATTTGCATTTGGGACTGATTAGAAGAAACAAAATGGCTTCTAGGTGGCCATTTTGGATTTGACAGGTAAAGATTATCATCTCTATTTCTGCAAAGAAATGTTCAAATGTCTTATCATTAAGAGTAAACCCAGAGAAAAGAAAAGATGAGAAAAGAAGGGAAAATATCAAACATTCAAAGAGCATATAAAGATCAAACAATGGTGGGTGCCAAGATCCCTTTGGGATGTCTTGTTGAACAGTGTAGAATGCAGGTTCATTCCTGAACCCTGACTTCTAGGAGGCAATTAATACCAACAAATTGATATGAAGTATCAAGTTTTTCTAGAGGGCAATGTGTTTTTTGAATGTTATACAAGTTCACAAAAAAGGAGCTTCATGATAGTAAGGTATGTTGTGAGAGATGTTACCAAACTTACAGTGAGTGTTAGACAATAATTTTTGCTTGGGATGTGAATGTGGTTCAGCAGATGACCTTTTTCCCTGTCATACTCCATTTAGGAATGGAACTCTGGCAGTATAACCATAGGTGAAATGCTGGTGTGTTGCCACAGTGCCACCAGACTTCCTGAGAATAAGATAAAGCCATCAATATGTTTAATGTGTAGGTAATGAAAATAAAAACCGAAATATATGGGTGATATTGTATCTACATGTAACCTACAGTTCAGTCGATTCCTTTGCTGAGTAAAGGATAGGAAAATGAAAGATATCCTTTTAACCAATTACATTGTATGACTTCTACATTTATATTCCTTGACATTGATGAGTAAAATGAAGAAATAAGATGAGAGGTCTGGTCCTTGGGGGGAGTCAGTCTGGCGCATGCTGATCAAATTAACACAGATTTCTATGTGATAGCAAGTATAGACTTTAAATGTTATTTTAGGTTGAACTTCATTTTTCAGAGGTTCTTACTTCTATGTACAGTGAAAGAGTAAATTACATCTAGAATTATTGATTAAAAATGTAGTTCTCAAAGAAATTGGAACTTCTTTCCGTTTTCTTGAATGAAGAGTAAGAAATTAATAACCGTTATCTATTGTCATTACATGGGAAATATATGATGCAGTCAGTAACAGTGATGTGATAATTCATTGTGTTATAAACCCCTTCTATAACCCTCATTCCTTAGTGAAGATGATCGATCAAGAAAAAATATGACAGAAGAAAATATCCAGTGTTGTATCGGGTCCTCGTTTTGAAATGATGAGGATTGTTTGATTTTGTATTAAGTTTAAAAACGTGCTTTTTCATCTCATGTCAGTGCCCTTTTCTTTCCAGTTAGTAGAGCTGTACAGCATGTCTTGTACTGCCTATGTGATTCTATGTTAGGGAGAATGTAAGCCGAACTGACTACTGTAAAACTACACTATATAAACAAATAAATTGCATGTGATGTTGTGTATTTCAATGTATGTATGCATGACATTCAAACCAGAGACAAAATCCAATATGACATCAAAACACATAAACAAGTGCCAGATTATAATGGATATATTCCAAATATATGACATCATGTAAGACATAGTGGGATGATAGACTACAAGGTGCAGTGACAGTATATTTATATAAGCTGCTTCATTGCTTTCAAAATTATCACTAAAATATAACATTTAAGAAAATACTTTCCTAGAAGAAACACAAGCTATCTTTATTTGAAGTTTTAAGGTTGTGATTTGTTTATATGGAACCTTAGGCATTGAAGATTACTACTATAATAAAATTGTTCAACACTCCTTTTAAACATATGGTTCATTGACTCATGAAAAATAGGATGCAGTTTTCATCACATTTTGAGTATTTGACAAGTGTTTGATTTAAGTTTTTAATTACTTGTGATTTCATTATTGACCTACCTTTAATATTTTTTAATTGCCATCTTATGTCATATTAACCTTCCCTTAAAATTAGCACACATAAATTGAATACAATGTGAAATTTCCATGAGAAGGAGGATGACCATTAAGGCATAAGATTAGTCTCCAATGTTCCAGAAAATCTTCCTTCATGGATGATGTGATGCATAGAAGCAGTATTATGGAATGCACATTGTTATCACTGCAAACTATTTAATGGTTAAGCTGTCATCAGTTTGACAAAAATTGTGTCAAATAGTGATTTAGTTTCTTTCAGAACGAGTTTAAGAAATAAAGAAATTGTTAATGCGTTGGAAAAGCATACTGAAAATGGGAAGATCTGAATGTCTCACTGGTGTATTTATTTGTTATTTAATCCTAGTTTTGTAAAATTTGGAATGATTGATTCAAAATTCTCATGTCCATCCTTCATTTATCATGCTCAGTTTCTTCAGCTTATAAGAAACTGCTTTCAATCTGTTGTGTTAATATGTTTAGCTTGACTGACTGCTTTTCCCCTTGAACAGTGTTTCATATATAATTACTATTGCCTGTTGAAGGAATGCTGCTGTTAGCATTCACGCGGTGGAAAAGAAGGCTCCTGCTATTTTGTAATTTTCTTCATATTTTAGTTGTGATATGCACACACTCTTTCCTGCTTCAACATAATTTTTCGAGGACATCGTTTAATTAATTGCTTGGCTGTGATGCATATTATCAGTTTGTATTGAATGGTGCTATTTACTTCTGTTTTTGTTCAATCCTAGGTTGTTTGATATCTGTTATCTCTAGCACTTTTGGAACTACCCAGTGAAAGTGTAATAAACAAACCATTTTCTAAGTTAAATTTCCTTTTTGTAGTTAAAGAGCAATGTGGCGTCATTTTGAGAATGCACGGGAAAGCTAGAAGTAACATTTTTCTGATCCCTGTATATTTCCGTTTATTTCAGAGCCACCTAAAACAAAAAAATCCAGTAAGTCGACCAAGACTAAAACCTCAACAAAGAAATCAAAAACGTCCAAAAAGAAACAAAAGCCTTCACTCATTGTTTTGGGGATTGTGATAACATTGTATGGACTTCTTGGAAAACTTGCGAATGGAAATGTCATTGTCGTTTCTGTTTTAACTGTCATAGTCGGTGCTTACATTTATTGGTTTGCAAGCGAATTTGATAAATTTTAATGTTGTCCTAACTTATGTGTTAAAATTTATTCCTTACTTAGGGATAAATATGTACCTATGTAGACTATTTTTATCTGGCAGTCATTATAAAAACTCAAAATCTAGGGACTTGTTTCATCAATTAATTTAGATGTTATTAATAATTATTGTACAAGATAGAGATGTATTTTTTGTCCGGTTTCGCCATCACAATCCCATTTCTTAGACTGTAGCGTCACTCGTCTGCATATTTATTTATGCCTGTCTTTGAAATATGAAATAATTCAGTGGAATTAAATTCTTACAGTAATTCAGTATTCCCATTTTCTTGGTTTTTTTTCCACAAAATGTTCTATTTTAAATCTTGCAATCAAGCAACTGTACCTTGAATCTATAAATTAAGTCGAGCTTTATAATCACAGGAATGGGAAGATTGCTTCAGTAATGTTCTGCTGTGACAATGCCTTTGTAATTTGCCACAGCGTTATGTCTGATTGTTATTTGTCACCTTACAGCTAAGAAGGAGTTTCAAACATGCATGCCTCTATATTGGTCCCTTTTGGTTTCACGACTTCTCTTATAGTTATAGGTCAATGACGGGGTCTGTTGCCCAAATAATTACTGACATGTCCCAGTGGCTGGCTTTTGCCATCCTGATCTCGAAATACCATTGTTTCATGTTTTGTTGTATGGAAATGTTATTGCTCAATAGTAATTTTGGGTCAGTCGTTTTGATATGTGTTGGTTGTCTGTTTCTTTGTCAGTCATCAGGTAAATTTTGTAACACAACCTGTGTTTGATCAGTAATTGGCAAAAAAAATTAAGATGTTTAAAATGACCATTGAAGTCGAATTTTTAGGTATGATTACAAGATCCAATGCCCAGAGATAGACACTTACAGCTGTCCAAGGTTTGGATTGTAGCTCCTGTAGGAGTGACAAGCAAAACAGATATTTTTTGCAAAACTTACTCCATACTGAACAGATTTTAGGATAATTGCTACAAGTATGTTTTACTTAGTGCTCCTTAAAACAAAAAGATAGATGGGAGAGATTTTTTCAATGACAGTAAATAAGATATGCTTACCTAATATGTACATCAGAAAATGTGATGATGGATGTTGGAATCTTTATGATTGATTCGGAACATTTTGCACTTTATGTATATTCATATTGCACCAAACCTAGCCTTCTACAATTTGTCTTTGGGTACTGTGGAGTTGATTTGAAGTTATGCTCATGACTGTGACAATACACAAAAACAATTAAATGTTGCACTTAGTATAATTGTGTATATTTATTGTATAGCAGAATCACGAAAATTCATCAATATGAAAATTGTTATCAGTGTTATTTTTTGTAAAGTTCCTTTGTTAATAGTTGACTTGAATTTCTCATTTTTTATCATGATTTAAGTCAGACTATTTATAAGATAATGATATCATTACAGAATACCGAAGTGTTCTATTATCTTCAGAGTGATATCACTTACCCTGTATTAGTTGGATAATCTAGTGCAATATTTACGAGATCGTCATAGTGAGTTAAGTTGAACTTTTAATAAAGATAATTTTGTAGATCTAAATGAAGCAGTTCCAAAGGTCATTGCTCATTTTATGTTCCTGAATGTAAGGTGAAATTTGTTTTTAATTGAGCTTTGCCTGAGACGTCGTGCCTAACTGGTTTATAGACAGGAAAATGTGATTAGTAAACCACATATGGTACATTCTGTAAGTTTAGTTATGTGCACACCCTTGTAATATAATCTGTAATATGTATGTTATATACTGTAGTGCCAGTTTATGTTTGTGTTTCAAGTTGAAGCTGTAAAACTTGAAATTCATTATTAAGAATCATGTGCAATAAGGTGTCTGTTTTCAGGAAATCGTTAATGACGATATTGAAAAAAAGTCTCTAAAATACTAAATTCTCTAGCCCTCTCTTGCGTATTTATTAATATTTCAACTTGGTTACCTTAGAGAAAGTGAGAACGAGGTTTGACTTATTTATAACATCCACATCCATGATGGCTTAATTAAGAAATTATCAGAACTACCACAACAAAACGATAATTTTCATTACTTCAGTCGATCGCGGATGGTTTGGTGAATGGGAGGTGATGCTAAAATGAGAAATTTTGGTGGATTTACGGAATTGGTACAAACGCATTAAGGAATTATTTTCGATCCTCTATAAGGAAAAATAAAATCATTAAACAACATAATGATTCTGATTAAGAACTTTAATTTGGAAGTTATGATTGGGATGACAAGACAAACACTTTGCGAATTTCTAATTCTTTTGAATGGTAGCATTTCCCTAATGAAAACAAATGAGAAAAGTTTGATGAGTGGAATTGTCGCTTAATCACTGCCGTTACTGAAGTAAGGGATTGATTTTTTGTAAACACTAGCATGTGATGCCATTGATGTTGACAGTAATTAGGTGTGTTCCTACTTTGAAACGGTTACTTATGTATCCCGAACGTGAGTCTGATTTAGTTGTACAGTTCTTCAAAGAATGGAGAGATACTGAATGAAAGGAATGATGTTCATTAGGAATTTTCCAGGTGTATGCATGCTGTCAGTTAGGTTCTATTTTATACTTTGTATTATGTATCAATCAGCAATTTGTATTTATGATTTTTTCTTTGTAGCTCCCTCCGAAACAGAAGAGGAAATTTCTTCAGAAAATGATGAAAAAGATGAATTATGAATGGCCCAAGCATTTGGTTGAAAAAATGAATGTAGAAAATGTGACAAATGTGTGTGAAAATGGAGTAAGTGGTCGAATAAAAGGCTGTATTTGTTTTATAAAAATGCCTCTTTTATTTATTGAAAAACATACAGCCGAACCTCGTTATTTCGAACTCATATAACTTGAAAACCCCGTTTAATTCGAAGCATTTCGCTGGTTCCAGCATAACTTCACACAAAACATACGAATTCACTTAAATCAAATACTCGCTTATCTTGAAGTATTTCCATGGCTCTGTCGAGATAACAGGTTCTAACGTATATTCCATTGTAAAGGGTTATGTCATTGGATACTGAACAATTTAGTCGCCATCACTAGATGACTCTCGCTAACTTTATCTAAAGTTCATTGGATATATATTTGTAATTGTTCTTAAGGCTATCGATGTAGAACCCGTTTTTAAGCAATTACTTTTGAAGATGATTTGGTTTCCCGATAAACACATGTACCTTCGATGGACATAATTGTGCGTGATTGATATTTTAATGCTTTAAAATGGATCGCTCATGCGCATTACGTTTGCTGCATTCTTGTAAAAATTCTCTTTGAGAAGGATGAAAGTAATTTGATTTATTTCTATATCATTTAAAAATTATTTCACAGATGAAAAAAAATATAAATCAAAATATCAAAGATATCTTTTAAAATGTAGGTACACAACTGAGCTGTCATGTTTGTTGAATGATGAATCGTTCTGACGCAAAGTATTAAGTGTTTCATAATTTACCTGTGATAGCGTCAGCAATCTTGAGGTAATCATTCCGTATTCTTTATCTATCTTTAGCTATCAATCCACACGTATGGGTACATATCGTCAGATGATCTGCTCAATTATCAATTTAAATCGAGTAAATCTATACAATATGATAACGATTGTAAGGAACACAAATGCGCCATAATGATGAAATAATTTTTAATGGTCGAGTTGAAAGGCGAACCTGATGCACGTAGACTACCTTACGTTGATACATCCTGTTTCAGACCACATTACGAAAATCTTCATATGTAATAGCTTATACATTCTACGAGCTCTCGGGACCGGTTTTGATGTGTTAAACACATTGCAATGTCCAAAAAATGTTAAAACACAATTTACATAAATATATTTTATTCTGGCATATCAAGAAAATTTACACTTTCAAGAGAAATATCAATTTGCATTATATTTTTTTATTCAATTATTCATGAAAGAATCATTTGGACCAAATTACAGACGTATGTAAATGATACTACACTGAGTGATGCAGACAGCCTTGATGTAGAATTTAAGTCAAACAAGATGTCCCAGAATGTACTTTCCCTTGCTGTTGCTATGGTAGTCCCTTGGTAGGTTTTGCACTCGTTCGGTCTGGGAACATTTGGACATTTCCCACGACTTCCATTTACGGGATCCTTCCAGGTCATCATTTTACAAAGTCTTGCAAGTCTTTTAAAGTTTTCTTCAGTGGGCGGGAAAGCTGAATTTTGTTTAGGATTGATCTGTGCATATCTGGTAAATCCACTTGTCATTCTTGTTAGACCAAGAATATATTCCTCGCCAACTTGCGTTTGATTCTGAACAGGATAACACTCAATTGCTTCATCAATAGATTCGATGATGATTTCCCCGGGTATTCTGAAATTGTCATACTTAAGGATACAGTAAACATCAAAACGGCTATCGAGGGCGCCAGGATGACGCAACTTCCCATGCATTTTGTCCTTTCCGTAAACCACAATATCGGAAGTCAGTAATATTTCCTCCATCGTCATATTGGACACACTAGCAGAGTCACAACTGCATTTAACGACAGGTAAAAACAACAGGAACATTACAGAAATCAGATCGAACATAGTATTGGTTGTACCGCTCACCTCTGCTCGTTTCTGTCGAAGTGAACTATTGCATATGATATTTAAAATATAGGTATGTCCAACAATACCACTACACAATTTGCAGTTGTATCATTTCATTCCTTTTAAATCAAACACGTAGGATATATGTACAAGCATCACTGCATTATTTATATATATACACAGCTATATGATTACTATTTCAATATACAATATGTCAGAATATTTCTTGTTTGTTACTCGCGGACTTAACGGCTTCTTGCGTAAATCATGTTTATTATGATAACATGTTATTATTGTAAGCTTTGATTGGACGATGGTTAATCTAGTTGTCACTAAACTCACGTGATAATGAACTCTACCAGGGTTAAGCTGATTAAGCACATTGATACTAATTCTGTTGATGTCTACATATATAATTCATACAGTACTCGGAAGTCTTAAAAGTACTCTTGATGGGTTTCATTGTTATAAATGTTCGCCTGAATGTACTTTTCGATACTGTATTGTATCATTGTTTAACAGAGAACATAGATTACCAAAAACTAAGTCAATATGCACTATTTAGCAAAATGTCTGCTACCATATAGTTCGATGAAACATCTTTGACAGGTCACGTTTAGGTATCAATCCTGGCACGTTACACACAAATGTACGCTTATCGACAAAACACAATGTTGTCATGAAAACAAGTAATTAAGTGAATTACTTCCAGGCATACAACTGTATTTCACAAAGATATCACTATCAATACACAGGTTTGTGTTACATCGTACGAATGACATTACCTACACAGTCTGATTAAAGGTCAATATTCGGACATGTTTCTTGCATAAATGTCGGTAAGAATGCGGAAAAATATGGACCCGGCTATATGTATGGCCTTTTATTTCATGTTTATCATTTTATGATTATCGCATATATTCTACAGATTTATGTAACATGTAATTATCACTTAGAAGAAAACATTGATTATTATCGTTTTACCCTATTCTGCAGCAGTTACAAAAATGAATAATTTTTACTAAGCGAGTGTTGAAACTACATATTTTAGTTGTTTAGCGCTTTTATTGCATTTGATTTGAAACTTTATGCTAAATAGATGATATACAAGTTATCTCCGTATTTTAATATATGACACAGTTTTGGAGCTGTCTGTTACGACCTGTAGTTTGAAGTTGATATTAGTGCGAGAGAATACCGAAGCACAATGGATTATAAATACGAACTTTTAAAACACATCTTGCATTCGGATTAAACTCCTTCTTTTTGAGGAATGCTTCAGGTATATAAATAACAAAAAAACCATATTTATGATTCCAATTTACATCATTGATAAAATAATTATACATGTAATTTTTTGATAAACCGTTCATTAAAAAAGAGAATGGCAACAAAATTGTTGATTAAGCAACTCTCATTAACTAATACAAAATAGTTCACATTAAAATGCACGTAACATATACCTTTAAAGATCCATTGTTCTTTCAATTACAAATATCATATTTCGTATATCTTTTCAGACCGAAATGATATATTCCGTTGAATCTGATGTAATATCAAAGTCAATATCACAATCGAACCTATCGAATTACTAAAATAAAAAAGTCAATAAAGGTTCCTGATTGAACGGTATTGTATTTAACGACCGGAACAATTGAATGGGGGACATATCTAAAATACAACTACCCTATATTGCACTGTACGTAACGGACATGTAGTTTTAGTTTGATTTATCAAAAGATTACCTTACAGATGCAAGTGACACTGTTTTATTTGTCTGGTTGCAATGTATTAAATATTGCTGAAAAAGCATGAAAATGGACTTTTAATACATCAGTTCTAGAGGAAATTGTCGAACACGTTAAGCTTCGGTTATGGTAAGCGTAAGCTTACACAAAGAAAGAGCACCATGCATTGTACATGTATTACGAATATCACTCTCCCTCATATGAACTCATACTTTCATAAACGCAACTTATTTCAGAACTACATGTATGTCTCTCAAATCTTGGAATGGTCCACACGTCTTAAAAGTATACCGACTTCATGTATATGATCTTTAATATTAGTGACTGTTTTGAATGAAAATTATGATTATTATTATTCATATCCTGTGTCATTAAAATGATTTTGAAATGTCTAGCAAAATATTGGCATTTAAGGAGATTAGCTCAATTGATTTTTCTTATCTAAGCACAGCAGTCAAAATGAGGAAATATATTTTTGGCAGCCGTTCATTAGAGGAAACATTAGCTTAAAGGGTAAATACTCAATGTACTATTTGCTCTGTGAATCGTATTAACATAACTTTTACTTTGGGTTGTAGGTATGTGTATGTTGGCGAAGTTTAATGTGCTGTATAGTATTGAATGCGATTATAACATATCGACACCTTTTGTAAAAATTACCGCAATGGTGATTTTGTTATTAAAACAACATACAATAGTATTCAATAGTGCAATGCTGTTGTAGCACAAAACTTTCAGCGCAAAAAGCGTTTTTACAGAACCAAGCGTCTCTCGATAACAAATCGAAAATAAAGATCATATGTATAATATCGAGTTAAATGATTTCACATTTAAACAGGCTTAAAAACCTACGTATGGTCTGAGTGAAAATGAATACTGTTGCGTTTGATTGTTATGTTTAAAATTTGAGTCTGAATTCATTCTAGTCATATTGGTTTTAAGATAACATTTCTATGCACATCTTACAAACAGATACATTTAGTTGAACATAACACGTTGACATATTCATACACATTCTTCTATGGTTTACACAAATATTTGCATGTGAGGACTGATGAGCACATGGGCGTTGCTTGGTTTCTGGATGGGATGACTGGCATGTAGTTTGACATCTGTATGACAACAAAGCCGATATACAACGTCTGTACTTCCTGGAAAGAGCAAAACCATAATTACAAAACATTTCATGTATCTAAATTCGTTAGCACTTCAATAATACGGTGCCAATTCATTTACATGTTTTTGTTAGCCATGAACTGGCACGTTTACATCGCCCACAAATATATATTTCACGTTTTATGACCCCGCCATGAAAATAGGAGAGGGGGACATATTGTGTTTTCCATTTCCTTACCGTTCCATCCCGATTCAATGTAAGCACCCAACTTCATTCTTTGACAGTTGTTGGTCAAACTCTATACGAAGGACAGTTATGAGTATAATTTGGAATATGTTTCAGGGGTTCGATATAATCCTTGCTATACTAATATACTAATGTTTATAAAAAAAATTATCAACTGATTTACTTTAAACCCTTCAAGGAATTTAGTCACGCTTCATGCAAAGATCAAGTAAGTATATACTTTGGACATTGTTGTGTTTCAGGAGTCCAAGATATCTCTTGCATTCGTAATCATTAAACTACATGAAATACGATGAGACAAACTAACTTCACCAGCTATGCACTGTTCCTGGTAAAGATGAAAATGTCAAGTTTACTAGGAAAGACACAAATACTCCTGCCGCCATGACCATGACCATGTGATTACGGATGCAAGAATTATTTTAAATGCGGAAGTTGACCAATCCCTTTGAATCCTGTCAGCCACTCCCCTCACCCCCTACTTTATGAAAATCGTAATTGATATCTATTTCTTACTTTTTTTATTTTCTGACGAAAAATTTAGCTTGGACGTAACATTTTTACCAACTGTATTCATTGTGTATGTAATGGATAATGGGTTTTGAGTGCTGTAAAGTTAGATAGAGCTTACCTCATGTTACTTGCTCTACAAACTGAATTGACTGTTTACTGAAAATAAGAAAATATTTGTCATCAAATGCATTAATCTAAACCCTGACACCAAGGGTCAGGTTTAAGGTTTAATATGTTAACGTCGTGTTGCTAAAATTTAAAACATTAACTATGTATGACAAATATAAAGAAAACAAATGCTAAGTCCCAGTTGACCTAACGATATCAGAAATACACCTGTCATCGTTGTTCGTTAATTTACAGTAAACAATATAATGTCTTGTGTGACTTGGTAGAAATGTTTACACGATAACGTGTCATCCCTTTAAGGACGAACTCCAGTGCACTTTAGAGCACTCTTAGACCATTCCAGAACGCGATGTTGACGTCTGGTGAATTATCATCTGGAGTTCCAATTAATTTTGGCGTGCCTCTCTGCAATTTTAATTTTTTGGGATGGTTAATGAACGGAATTCTTTTTTCATTATTGCTTCTTAACTGGAGTGTTTTGATGCGCGACAAGTCAAACGCTTAAAATGGTAATTATGCCACTGTTGTTTGACATATGAACCAAACAAATAAAAAATGAGTTAAAACTCGACTTCGATATTTCGAAAATGGTATTTTATTTTATCACAGAAGTCGCAAGGTGATATGAATTAAATGGAATATTTTTTATAAACTGCCGTTCCACTCCCTCAGTTGTAGCAATGCTTCATATTATATGACATTGTATTGCAATTATTGCTTTCACCAGCATCAGATTAGAAGCATGGATGGAAGCTAGCTACATGACACTCTTTTCCGTAGGACGTTTTAATCTTTTAAAAGAATTTGATATTGCTGGCAGTTTTTCGTTTCTTTGCTTCGTCGTCATTTTGTTTTGTTTTGTTGAATACATAGTATGTAGGAATGCTACGTGTAATGCGTACGGTAACGAAGTATTGGTTGTACATGGTATTTTGATGTACATTCAAATATAATTTCATCAGTTAACGAAAGAGGAACACGTTTTCTAGTGTGACTGCAGCTGACACATTTAGACATAATATATCTCAAGGTGTCATTAAATGGAAAACAAAGATTATAAATCATTATTGTTCTTTGTTAGTGCATGGATTCTGTTTTAGCAAGGCATTCTGTACCTATACGTTCTAGTCTTGTTTTGTTATACCCATAGGCTATGTTTTCTTTATTTTCGAAACCTCCAATATCATTTGGAGGAAGGGAGACGTGCTCATCTCATATATTGTTACTTTGGCTCTTATTTATACATTTCTCTTAGTTGAATAATATGAATGTAAGGACCTCGGAAATAATGAGATAGAAAGATATTAATACCGTACATACCTCCATAAAATCTTCGTATCTTCATACTACACGTATCGGTCTACAAAAAAGCAAATGTTTTATTTTTTACAAGTGCACGTTAAGATAATCAGATTTCAATTTTCACTGACTTTGGTCATTGAAATATTGCGTAACAACGAATAATGAAGGAGGGTTTCGGAAGAACAAACTATAATTAAGTTCGCTGCATCTTCAATAATAGCAGAAGTGTAAAGTCCTATTATACATGTCTTCGTGTATTTGATATCATACATACATTCTTGTAGCGACTGAATGTTTCAATTGAATTGGAAAAAAAGAACTCTTAGAGACAAAAGAAAGGACAATTATACCATGGCTGCCGTAATGAAAATATCAATGTCACTTATACGGTCTATAATAGTTTTCGTAATGAAGCTCATAGCTTCAGTATCGTTGAGTGTGATGTGTACTCATGTCGTTGATGTGCCCGATCAGACATCAGAACTTTCGTGGATGATGATGGAGGTTCTTACACTTTCTATGACGAGGAAAAGTACAAAACGGAATCATGGTAGAAAGATATTAGTTTTCCGAAATAGCAAAATCAAATTATGATTATACGACTGGGAATTGAATCTTTTGATTTTCTTTTAGAGATGCAGTGTTTTTCTGAAATTTTCGCGCCATGAACATACAGGGCAGTTGAGGCAGGTGCAATTGCATGTCATCTCGAACAATTAGCTTTATTGACTCGCCAAAGGACACAACCTTGATACTAAAGACTGGCCTGTCTGGCTTCACTAGAACCCTGCACCTCAGATCTTCACCTGGGGTTTTGTAAGCCAACACTAATGACTGAGCTATCTCGCCCCCTCTCCGTTTAACACACAAACACAAAATATTGATATACATACCGGAACATTAAAATTTATGTTCGTTCGAACTACACGATTATTAAGAGGCATAGTTGGTCTGTGGTTTTTTTCTAGCATTAAATCCGAGTTATCCTCCCCGCCTTGTTTGATGTTACGAAATGTTTCCAACTGCAACAGAAAATGAAATGAACATGTCTATAATCACAAAGGAATCTACTTCTAGAAGACATTTTCATTGATTCTTGGTGGTTTTAGACATCGCGTGTATACGGTTTAATACATAAAGCAAACTTTTAATGATAATGTATCACGTTCTGACAGAATTTTAAAATCTGTATCACAAAACATGTATTATATATTAATGTCAGAATCACTTCCCAGTCTATCAAAAGCGCATGTTGTTGACCAAATGAAAACAAAACAGAAGCATAAATGTGTTGATGATTTATGACTTAAATTCAAACTATCCCTAGTTCACTACATCACAATCGAAAATTTAAAGAGGCCCTGTTTGTAATGCTTTTAATGTTTTCATTCTTTACAGGTATACGTATGACACGATAGACTTAATGTCGATAGAATTTGATCACAACAAATTGTTATCTAGCGAAATATGTAAAATGTAATGTACTGAAATATACATGATTCATATGCGTTTTTATGAATAAAGAACATTAAGAATAATAAGAAATGACACGGATTCGAATGAATAGAACCTTTCAATACAAATTTAGAGTTCGATACAGCAGAGCCAAACAATGTATGAAACTGCATCATGCAGCAGTTTCGTCCTTCAAGGACTCGTCACTGATGCTAGTGGCCTAGAATATTTTATGCCATTCATATAACGACCCTCTTACCATCAGTTTGAATTCGGATGAAGGATTATGACATTTTTTTAATGTTTTCATTTGTATTTTAAATATTGATAAGGAAACTTCAAACTGCGGGATTTATTTATTCAGCTGAAAGATAATACTTGATATGGCATGGTGCACCACTAAGGTCGTAAATGTGACTTCATAAAACTACGTTTTCTTTCTCAAGTTTCGACTAATTAAACACATTCTTAACTATGAATCTCCAGATAATGCAAGTTCTGTGATCCGACTGTGAGACACTTTATATGTCTAAGGTATGCTAAAATGGTTAGTTTTGTTTTGAACGTGATGAAGCCTCAGGCGTGAATTCCGTTCGCTTTCAATCTACGAGGTTTGAATTATTGATGCGCCACAGTAGAAATTTAGTTACGTACAAACACTCGAACACGTGGGGAGTTTTCTGTCACGACAGCAGGTGGATTTTTGCTGGACAAAACCCGAGTTCAAACTGTGTTATGGGTAAAAATAGACTCCATGAATCCTAAAGTAAGTGATCGCGTTGCTGAACAATTTGTATTCTTCTGACCCTGTGTCTTTTTTATGTATTTTTCTAGCTAAACATCTTATGAATATGCAAATGGCTTTTAATAAGACTAGAAAGACTACACTAAAAGGGAAGATAATTGCTTTAAGCTAACACAACGTGACCAAATATTGAACATTCTTTTTATCCACTTTCACTAATTACCGCTAATTAGTCAAGAGGAACACATATCACGCAATGTGTTTTAAGTATATAGTATATCAGTAATGACAGATGAGAACATTTGCTCTTACATTTTTGATAATGTCTGTATGTCAGTCTGGCGTATCAGATTATCAACTGACTGTGTTCGATCATACACAATCTCGAATACTTGTCATTAGTCATTGTAGGTAAGAGATAAGACCATTCTTGCGGCATCAAACCTTCCGAAGCTTTTATAGTTCAACAGGCAACTTATTTCACTCTGTTCTCTCTGATGTACATGTATCACCGATTTTGTTTTTCAAATGAGAAATTCAACTACTAAACATCTTATCAGGTATATGCATTTTGGATTTATTTCGAAAGGCGATGTTACAGACGTCTATTTATATATTTGTCAGGAAAGTCTTGGAGCCAGGGCCAACTCTTTATTTAACTCCACACGCCACTTGGTCTTTTATCGGCGCATTTCAAAACACGTTAATATACGCATTGGAGGTAATATGAAAGAAGAAGGAATTAATTCACAGACAAAGGATGACAATAACTGTAGTGTGTTGTAGTCATTTTATAGCTTTATATCAGCTTCAGACTAATTTTACTCATAGACATCGAGACGTAATATCAGTTCAGCTTCCAGCCCGTTGTCTACACAGAATCCTTGAGTAACGTTAAATGCCAAATATCGTATCTTTTGTAGTAGGACGATGTCATTTGTTTATAGCTGATGGAATTAATGATATATTCCACGGATTGTATTGCTATGTACTAAAACGGCTCCAGTAAGATTAATTCTTAGATGAGAATGGTTTCATGCTGCGACAGATATCATTTATAATAACGGACTTTTCATGCCCCAAAAGCGACGTTTGTTGGACCGACTAGACTAATACAGATACAAAGAAACAAAAAGAAAGAAAGAAGACAATTCATGGCAAACACCAATTCATCACATATTTTTTCTTACATAATTGATGTGTCATAAATTCACGAAAATGTTTTGCGATGGCAATACGTTCAATAAAAAGACAAATAATACTGTTACTCGCAGTAAAACACTTCTGCTGATTTTTTAATGAAACTTAGACTTATGATAGGTTTTTTCCATCAGAAGAGAAACTTAAAGTTGTTGCTTTATTGTTGATTTTCGTTTCAGGCGTTGAGGTTTACGTTCCTTATAGATGATGGAACACATTAGGACAACTAATTAAATGTTACAAAGGAAAATCAAACACTTTCTGATGGAAACTGATAGGTTTACTTGCTATCCCAGTAGTTATTCCTAGAAATGATTATCTCCACTGACGGTTTTCTTAACATTTCTCTATGTACTCATCATTCATTATGCAAAGGAACTTTCTTACAGAAAGCACACTGTTGGCGTATAAATACTCGCGCAGTTTTGATACTCTTGTTTGTACACATTGGGTACGGTAATAAAACGAACAATTGAAGTCATCATTCAATGATCAATATAGAACCAAGCCATATAAATGTTAACATTTCAACAAAACGATCAATCAGCACCACAGATCACAGTTTTAAAAGTATTGTGTGTACGAGGCAATCAACGAACTCATGATTTTTATATGTAACAGCACACTAGTAGCTACGGCATTGTCAAAGCCAAACCACCGCTATATTTCGTTCCTTACGTCCCCCAAGGAATCATGGTTTATCTTTCATTTTTGTCTGAGAATTTTACAACAACATCTATCTAATTGAACTAAATATTAACTGATAGTTAAGGCTCCTAATCAACATCATTCATGTCACATAGGTATCTCGATCCTTTTTTGATTAAAAGAACATCTAAGGCATTACATCGTTCTGTTACGCCACGCTACACGTTAGACGGTAACAAATCTCATTACACAAGGATTAGGACACCCTACTATCCATAACTCTGTTTAGTTCGTTTCGTCTGCTCTTCATCACATTATTACGTCCTCTTCTAGTTGGTTTATGTGTTAGGTACTTTCTTCCTGTCACGAATTTACGACCAAGAACCGGAGTGACCACAGTTACACAAGAGATCCCCGACACTTATCGACCCAGTACGCCCTGACATCAAACGTCTGGGAATGTGATGAACATGCCGTTTAATTGCTCTTTTTTCACACTTTGAATGCAATCTTATATAAATGTTCTCCTTATTTGTTTTACATTTTTCAAAGATCTGTAAATTGATTTAAAAAAACACCTTCAAATTCTGATACAATGAACTAGTTAAATGTAGTTAAGAAATCAAATATAATGGAATATTTTGTATTTTGGTTCCTCCTACACCGACATTGCAGTTCTTAGTCGGTGTAACACAGCATGGTAAGGTCGCCTGTTGTGACTGAGACATTTCACATTTCAGATTTCGTGCATCACCGGATCTCGTTAATATATTTCTGTTGATATATATGTATAGTACATGTATGTTGCTTTTTTGTAAAGAAATTGATGAGTGTTAACTTTCTGGTAGAAGATGCCAGGATGTTATCATTTCTTATACTATCGACGAATTTGATTAAGTGTATTTACAATGCTAAAGATTGTTTTCTCTGCTGAATCTGTTTTGCAATGTCCTTGATGTTGTAACTTTGGTATAGTCTACCATTCTTCGTCAACATTTTCGCTTTATTTGTTCTATTTCAATAATACAACCTTTCATTGTATGCATATTTCATCACATCCTATATTCTTTTAAGTTTCCTTTCTTTCAGATTTGTGATTGTATTTATGATTAATATATATCAGAAGAAAACTCGGATTGTTTCATTTTCTTATTTACACAAATATTGTTCTCATTGCGCAGACACAAAATACACAAACTTGAAAACCATTTAAAACATTTCTTTTGACATATGCACCCTTTTCCATTTTCTCTCTATATTTTACGATATCATAAAAACAAACGACATGATGGAATGGCAACACCTTTTCTATTTCTAGGATGTGATACACTTTTTTGATGTTTCATTCTATGTCGATGCTGATTTTATTATAAGTATACTGAATGTGGTATGTTCCTGCTGGTTGTGTCATACTTATGCTGATTCTTTTTCCTATCCTCTGTTAATTGTTTTTAAATAATGGGTGTACTGCTTTTTAATAATTTAATTGCAGGATCGATTTAGTATAAAATGGTCCTAATATGTTACTTTAACACTGAAACCCATAACAATATTGATTAATTCTTGTTTGATGCTCAAAGTATAACATTGTTCTTCCGGATATTGCACAAAAGGGAGATACATTTCCGATATTGTTAAGCTAGCGCTACAACTCCCATTGTGTTTAGACTTAAAATCACTGAAAGGGAACTTGTTATCTTTGATCGTTCACTATACTAAACACATCACCAGCGAGTGTAAATTAGGTTTATTCCTGGATGAGTATACATGCTTCGGGAGGGACGATTCTCAAGTGATTTAAACGATATGATATAATTATACCTATATAACATCTACACACGCATTTCGCCTTGTCATAATGGCCTTTCACCGATAATGACACCTCAAAACTGTTACATCTGGAAAATGTCTTTTCTCTATCAGGCTTTAAAAGAAATAATGAGAGAACCCGGAACATTCGGAAAAGACTACTTCGGTAATTAGAACGTGCGGTTAAATACACGTGATTAATTGCTTTTTGGAATGCAAATGAAGTTACATGACAGAACTATCTCATAAGCTTTTTGAAAGGTTAAATCAGACAGTCTTACTGAGGATTTTGATGAACTTCCAGACAATAACTATAAACGGTAAGTGAATAGCAATGCGCGTGTGAATGACAATAAATCCTATCGACTATTTGTGTCATCTGTTAAAAGCAAGTATGTTGCTTTGAGGTTTACCACAATTTGAAATTGATGATTCTGGTTGTGTTTGATTAAAAAGATAAGTAGTATAAAACGTTTTACATGTACGGTTGATGCAATTATCTTGAGCGCATAATAAGTGTCCGTATTTCATTTCGTCTATCGTCTTCTCGGTAAATGGTACGTCTAAAATGAGTACAGTGCCGTACATTTAAAACTGATTTAATTTATTAGTTCCTTGCTGTGGTTAAATATGCAGATGAATTAGTCCTGTTCGCTTTAATTTGAAATAAGAAAATGTTTACATCTAATACTGAAGGCGAATGATATTACAAATGTCATAAAATACATCGTCTTACCTGCCACTTCTGAATTTTGATTGGCTTGTTAAATACGACCCAAGTGACTGACTCATGGCAACCAGGTTGGGTGAAGGATCCTTCATATGTCACATAATGATTGGTGTCAGGAAATAGTATGTCTATTGGAATTCCGGTGAGGGAAATAACTTTACCTGGAAGAAAGTTAAAAGTAAATGTTGCTAGGGTTAATAGTGAGATATACATTATTAGATAAAATGATACAGCCTCACATTCAAGTTGACAGGCAAGACAAAAAGTGAACGAGTTACACAGAGACCTCTCACAAATACCTGCAGAACAAAATCTTTTGGTAATTTCTTAAACACAATATCCAAAACTGTAGCAATTGCAACTGAAGGAAGAAAGGTTGAAGAAGATACACACATATATCATTGCTTTATCTAGTTGAGGTGTTGAAGAAAATATTGTAAATGTCAAGGATCAATACGATTTTTTCTAATTTCCACAAACGTCAAAGCGGATTAAAAACGCACCACTTTCACTAAGAAAAATAAGTTTTCCTGGATGGTGAATTCCAGGGCGTCATATTAATATGTTCCATATCTTGATATCCTGTTTGACGTCTTATTTAACTTTCTATACCTTGTATTGATATCATGATAAGATTTAATGATACATGGATTACAAGATATGTCGAATTAAGCTTGTCACATGCAAGATGCAAGATCTGATGGTCTACAAACTTGATTACATCATTAAATAACCGACTCAACAAAGATATGCCTGCAAACTTTTTTTAAAAACCGGCTCTTAATGGTGAACAATCCCTGTTGCAACGACTAGACCTTTGACAGAACCATTACTTAACGATTAAAATGATTAAAACAGATATTTCTTAAAGAGCACGATCATATCTTAGGGCATTAAATTAATTGTTCTTTTTCGTTAAAGATTATCAAAAAATACCAACTTGTCAACACAATTATAATCCAAAATCTAAAGCAATCAATTCAGGACACACTATGAACAAAATAAAATAATTTGACACGGAGATTCCTGAGTAAGTGTCTTCTCCCTCATCGACGACAATATTGGTCAATTCATGTAAAAAAATGTCATATTCTCAAATGAGAACAAGGTGCAATTGTATACAAAATCGGAACTAAAATGAAAACAGATGAACATCAAACCCACCCAGCTTCATATCCCACAAGGAAATAGAATATTTCTCAATTAGATTACTAAGGCGACCGTAAAAAGTCCCCATGATTTTCATCAACCTGCATCAACCCAAGAATAGCGAATAACTGCAACATGGTCGGGAATACAGAAATGTTGGTATCCATATATAGAAAATTCACAATAGATAAACTCATCACGCTTATCATACAGCTTCGTTGATAAATGTCCTTGTTGGTTTCTTTGTCGGAAAAAAATATCATTGGTTTTCCATTCTGATGGGTACATACAATGGACATAAATTTCTTAATATTTAAAGACAACATATCATCAATATATTCTAAAGAGAAATTAAACGTCTTTGCAATTTTTTGTGACTTGTTTTGATAAAATCTATGAGAAATTCAGCTTCGTATGAAAACAAAAGCTAGTCAGCCAGCAGAGTGGCATAGTTAGTTAACACATGTATGCCTATAGTTTTGAAATACCTTACCACCAAACTTGACGAAGAAAAATCAGGATTAAACGGATTAGTGTGTGATGTACTTCATTTAAAAATGACCAGTGTGTTTGCAGTATCTATGAAACAGCCAGCGATACTTTTTGATTGTTAATACCCACCAGGAACAAAATTCTATTCAGTACAAAAATAAGCTACTTTATCTTCTTAAATATCTTTTCAGTCAATCTAAAACTATCATTTCAAAATGTCTGTTGTTTTGGAAATGTGAATTATAGGTTATTGATATCCTTTTAAGCATTAACATTTAACGTTCACACTTGGCATGAATGACTGATGATTGTCCGAATTCCATAAACCAATTTCATGAATCCTAACCTAACATCATATTCATAATTACGTACAAACTTATCAATCATATGGTAAAAACATCATAACAGTAATGCTTAAATGATAGGTTTCATAAAGTCAATAGACTCAGAGGCGGTACAGATAATAAGTGTTTCTCTTTACCTTTTAACAGGACGTCTTCTATTCTCGCTGACATTAATCTAAATGCTTCGTTGTCTGGGCTTCCAAACTACAAAAAGTAAAATATATGCAGTGTATCAAGATAGGAAACTTAATTCATGAGGTAAGTGAAAGTACGTTTACAGTAGTTCCTTAATGCATGACTCCGCATCTCTAATCAATAAGGGTCTGACACACAAAAAAACCGCAGTTGACTATTAGAGCAGCGTTCAACGAGAAAGAGTTCCAATTTAATTTCTTACTTGCCTTGCCTTATATAGTTTTTTCCGTTTAGAAAAGGATTTTTTTTATTTTATTGTACATTTCTTAAAAAAATTACATGTAATATTTTCTTAGAAGCCTTTTGTAAATGAGGGAGCTAATACATGTACTGCTTGTGGAATTCAGCGTACAGTCTGCTGTCAACTGGTTAAATTCGCCACTGATTCCTGCTTATGCTGTACAGTATACCACTCGTTTCGATTTTGGTATTACTGTTAACTGTCATATCTACAATTACTACCCCATACGTACTGCCTTCCGATTACTACCTACTGTTCACTGGTAAATACTTACCACTAACTGTCTGACACTTTCGTCATATCTTTAACAGGAAAAAAATTTCTAGATTTCAATATGTAGTAGTTTCATCTACTGTCATTAATCATAGGTTGGACTAAGCTAAAATGATTTTTATACAGATGAAATTATTTCTCAAGAAACTATCAGATAATGTTAATAACTACAGATATAAGGTCAACATGTGTAAACATTAGCACCATTTGTAAAATGCGTATGCTAGTGAAAATGGCTATTTGTATTGATTATGCTATGAGGTAATATTCCCCAAGCAACTGAAACACACGGTAACCATTAAGTTGCAAACAGGCCACCGTGGATTAAAACTATTTGATATTAAGAATATTGTTTGGCCCTTAATGAATGTAATTGTTTCTTAAATAAGGGGAAATATTCACCAAGGGTTTGTTATGTCCTCGTATAAAGCTATCATTTTCTTTCAGTATTGAATTCTTCCCAAAATTTCATTTACTCCGGCTCTATTCTCAAACATTTGTTTTTTTTTTTATTATTTCCTATTTTACATTTTTTAATGCGCTTTGGAAACATGCTTGTATTATTTTTGCGTACGTTTCTATCAAATTTGCATCACCGCGTTCGAGTTGTAATTACGATTTTGTTAATAATGAAATATTTTATTGTTGTTTTAGCATTTGTAAGAGGAGGACACATTTCTTATTCATGAAAATGATATTTGATAAATTTCCAAAAGACGTGAGTGATCTTTCTATATCACACGGGGCAATATCTTTATTTCCCACCGGGTTCTATACTTGCACATATCGTCTTACATAACAGCGTTAAAAAATTGTATTTTCTCAAACATATTTCCCAAAAGGTAAGGTGTTGTAGGATGATGTCATTTTTTCCTCGTAGAAATGATGATGTGCTCTAAAAATATTGCTGACGGAGGGATTAATGGTACGCAAAATAAAGGCAACTGCTTTGGCATAAGGTTGAATCATGTTTAGTGGATAATGGTCTTAGATGCTAATTACCAGATCCAAATCCTGTTTACATTTGATGTATTTCTGTTTTTTGTTGTTTTTGTTTGGTGTTGTTGTTGTTGATATATGCCTCATATTTATATCTTTGTTCATAATGAGAGGAAAAGAAAACGCGAAACAAAAACCTTCGGTGCGTGTGTTCGATATTCTGTCATGTACATTTAATATCTCTTTTGAATGAAAAAAGGTGAACTGCCATTTGCAAAATAACTGAATGAAATGCATTAAAGAAGATGGGCAAGAACGATGAACAGGGTCATTTTTGCGTGAATGTATCTCTTTAAAAAACATGCTGTGTAGTAGTGCTGAGATATATTCTTTTTATACATTTCAGTATAAAAAGTACAAAATTTAAACATTATTTTACAGGAAATCGGCAATGGAGTGTTATATATTGTGCTTGAAGACAATCAACACTTGCCGTTTTGTTTCTGGTTTGTGTGGTGGTTCAAATACTGTTTCCGTGTACATGTGGGGTCATATACTTCCAACGTAATACGTGCTGGACAGCTTTGTTTTGTGATAAAGGTGTTTTGATCTGGTTTTTGTCAGTAAGAGTGGTATCCATTAGCTTCTTTCATGTTTGCTTTATTTAAGTCTCACACGATTGTACTTTACCGTAAGTGCATTCTTTCTTACCGTTTCCTGGAAAGGAATCTCTCATACAATTTAACGGAAATCACAAAGTTAGTATATTGACATGTGCAAAATGTCAATGTGTTCATCAGTGTTAGAGATCATGGTTTTTTCCCTACTACTCGACCGAAACGTCAGCGTAATCGGAAATAAAATTGTCTTCCAAAATAGCCCTGGTGGACTCGATAGTCACAGTGAAGCAGTTTAAATAATGGTTTGATGTAAATTTCTAACTGTTATGTTCATCTTGAGGTTTATAACGTTGGTATTTTTGAGTTTTATTTATCGTCATTTTAAGGTGGAAAAAAGTCGGAATAAATAGTGACCTTGAACATTTCTTTACACATCCATACACTTATATATATATATATATATATATATATATGTGTGTGTGTGTGTAAAAAAAAACAAAAAAAAAACGACCATTTCATGACTTTCTCGAAGAGTACATCCATTGGCAAGCTTACAAATGTGAAGATATGAGAATCAAAGTCTTTAAAGTTTTCTTGTCGGTTGTGCTTACCACCGCAAAAATAGCGAAAACTGCAATTCCCTTTGGTGAAGCCATCGCTTGTGAAGCATTGCTATAAAGATCGCAATTGTATGCATACACCTGTATCTGAAAAACACAAATATAACATAAAATGGACATCTTTCCTGTTTAGATGTAGCTGTTACACAAATGCTCTCAAACATTGTCAAAACCAAAAAAGAAAAATTGTTATTTAATTATCGTTTTCTTAGCAATTTGTTAGTTTGCCTGTTGGTTCCGTTGTTATAAACCTTGTTCTCTTCTCAGAACTTGGTATCATTTAATTGAATTTACATGGCGGTCGATGAAGCAGAAGACGCTTACTCTTCCAGAACACCTGTATTAACTTTTGTTATGTATGCTTTATCGCTTACATTGGATTAATGTTCGGTGAACTACTCAGCTGAAGAGATTTGAAAAATGAACAAATATCAATGTATTACAGGAATTGTGCGTCTTACAACGTTTCAAGAAAAGGTATTCCAAACCTTTTTTTTTGTAAAATAACAAATAAACAAGGAAAAACAAGAAAGCCGCGCCACTTTAGGCACTAAAATATACATTTTAAGAGAACATTTTTTCTGTTTCAGATGCGACATAAATCAATCTATCCATTCCTACACCATGTTGAACGTTCGAAAATGTTGATTTATTATGCTTTGATTTTTTTTGTTCCTGTCACTTTTCCCTTCTCCAAAGAATATACGCCATTCTAAATTGTGTTGACACTGACGGGAAAGCAGTAAAACTAAAACCGCGAATATTTTTTCATATTTAGTCTTAGTAAATAACCACATTCCACGCTATTCCTGCTGGTAGGATAAAAAAGAATCCGGAAGCTACGTTGTCACTTGTAAGGGTTTTCATACGCTTTGTAATTTTCCGACAACGTTGACAGGGAACTTGTAGTGTTTTATAGGAAATGGAGCCTCAATGCCGACAAACTTTCTGTAATGTAATCGTCCTGGTTAGTTGCATTTTAAATTTGACCCGAGCAGACAAATAATAACTGATATATAGCTAAAATTTATCTCCTCGGCCACAGCTTGCGTTTTTTAAATATTCTTTTTAAGTATAATATTTAATCATATACGCAATGCAGGATCGGAAATCACCGTCTCCTTTTTCTTGGTGCGTATTATTTGATAATATTGATTGCATAATTGTTTGAAATTGATACTCAGAGAAATCCACATTTGATTGTTCTAGGTTGATATGTGATTACAATGAGCTTAGGGTTTCTATCATCACTTGGAGAAGAAAAAATACTCGTCGGCATATCAATTTTATATCTTTGTTAAAAATATAATTTTCTTCCAATAACATTATGACAACCATTTTCAAACTTGTAAATGTCTTATAGTATTGGATGTAAAATATTAAACGCTTCTGCCGTTTGAGTTAAAGTTATATTACATCGAACTATCAAACAGGTAAGTTAACTTAAATATCACATTTTCAACATCTTTAAGTATGTTATTTGTTCATATATGTCACAATTGTAAAAGATCCTAAGTTTAAGAGATGACAAAAAATGGGTTTTAACATTAATCACAAATATTTCTGTTGACGTTGATTACCAGAATTCCCTTAGAATTCCCTTCTGGAGTTTCCGAAATGAAACCACTCCTGGAGCTATGCAGCTTATGGAATTCTCAAAATGTAAATATGATAATGTTACCACGGATTATCACAAGTAAAATCAGTTATAGCTGGCGAGAATATGAAATTATTCAAACGTCGGTAAAGCGATATAAGTTATAAAACGAAATTGACGAGTCTAGTTTTGCTTAAGGAAGTTTACAGAATCTGCCTAGTTATTTAGATGTCTACGGGGCATACACTACTCCCAATAATTTACTTATTTCACATCAAAGACGCATTACTACCTAGGTCTGATTATTGATACAGAATAAATCATGAAGATCGCTTGTGACTGTAAGAGTTTGTAATAAACATTCCAATTCCTCCTAACATAGAAATAATACCTAGCAAAAATGTTGTACTTGTATGTGCGAATACTAGTAAGCTGAAGTTCGTAACACATTTATTTACTCTTTAAATTATGAAGAATGCTTATCGGTTACTTTCTAAAGTAGCAAGGTGATACATTAGTAACATTATGTCAGCCTGCTTGAGTTCTGCAGGAAATAATTTGGAAACAATTAGGTTTTAATCGATTATATCATTGAATAGTGAATTTGACTTAAACGAGCTTTACTTAATGGTTCTCGAGTGATACGTACCTCAGCTGGTAATTGTTGTCCGTCTATAGTATGTTCTGATCCCATATTCTCCTCACGACCGTAGTGAACTTTGACCTGATAGATGTGGTAGTTGTATTGGAGAGGGCCCATGGAAGCATTCAGTAGTTTGATGTACGTATCATCAATATGGAGCGTTATATCATGTCCCGTATTCGTTAAGTTGCCTGTAATCTAATTTAACATGAACAATATTCAATTACTGATTGAAAATGTCACATAATATTGAAAATAAGTCCGAAAACTGAAAAAAACATCGTGGTGATGCAGAGTCAATTTGATACTTGATCTTTTACTTGAAAAATGCAAGCGGAATTGTTGTTTCAAACTGATATACATATCAAAAATGTCAAATTTTGCTTACATTTTTCTTATGTCCTAGAAATGTTGAGAAATATAGAAGGCCATGTCAATATATCAATATAATAATATGTAAACTTCTTTTTAGGGGTATATTTTCAAGACATATTTGGTCAATCTAATTAACTGAATAAAGGCATAATGCGTAAATGTATCTGACATTTTAAAAAAATCTTCAACAAGATATTAGCGTTTTCTATTTTCATGTACGTTAAAATTACTGAAGATGTGTTCGATGCTTGTGAGTTTTCCTGGTGATTTTTTTAAAACCATGTCACCTTGTTCCTATTTCAGATGGTTTAGGACTATGAATAATGCCTAACATGAGGTAAGTATTTCGTCTGGAAGTTCCACATTGCAGTAATTCAAAATAACTCCTTGCCATGGATTGAATTCATGACTATGAAATTATGAAAGGTCGGAATTTTAAAACAACTATCACCTTAAATTTAAATAGGAACTTTATATAAAAAAGAAATATCACGGGTTAAGTGCTTCTTGAACCGAAACTTAAATAGCTTTGTTAATAATGATTTATTATACTTGTAAAGTAAATCTTATGATGTCCAAAATACTTTAAACTGATTAAGCAAGTATCACATAGTTTTGTACTCGTGTATTTTAGCTAAAATCGATGAATCAATCTGTACGTTCTGTATTAGTTCGTGATATTTCATCTTCCTATTAAAACTTGAATCATACGACCAACCAATTTACAAGCTGAAAGGTCAAGGTTCCGTTATCATTGCATTGAAAAGAAACAGAAGACAAAGCAAGAAGGAAGTAGCTTATGACATCTTGCTGATCAGGTGGGAGTTGTGTTTGCTCACGGACACCCGACAATAAAGGCATTCAATCTAAATTAAAAAAAAGAGTTGGGAAAGGTGGCAGGTATATTAGCATTGTCAAAACCTTAAGCAATTACGATACAAAGAAGGAAGAAACTGATGCCGTCTTGTTGGGCACGTGGGAGCTTTGCCTTCTCATGGACACCTGATTAAGATTACATCCAGTCTGCCTTAAAAAGTAAGGAGTGGGGAATGTGACAGAAACATTTTGCATGGACAATATGTAATGTCATAATTTCCTAACATACGTTAACTTCCTTTCTAAGGAAGTTGTTTTGTCTCCGTTAATGCCTTCCTTGAAGATTTGTTAAGGACCTTTAAATTTCCCTGGTGTGACTTTCACTGGAGGTATATTGTATGTAGTATTAACCTTAATTTCATACCCGTTTTATTTTTAACATATACTTATGTGTGTGTTTTAAATGTTCAATCCATTCATTATAACGGACTGGTCAAATGCATGCCATAGCCACTACTACCTACAACTGCTCCGATAAAAATATGTTATTGATACAATCAATCGCTTTTTACTATATACTGTTACGTTTTGCTGGCATAGTTTCGCGAAGACACGGGTCTGAGGCAGATCGACTTGATTAATTAATCACTTGCTTGTCACGCAATGGACGATATAATACCTTTTTGGTTTGTATATTCAAATAGGTAAGGGAAGGGTCGTACAGGAGGTCACGTGGTTGGATGTCTATAGGGGACTGAAACTTTCCATCTCGACACATGGTCCAAGCAGGATTGAGGCCCCAGTAGAGAGGACCTGTGGATAAAATAAATGTATTAAATACAGTTTCACAACATAACCGTTAGGCTATCAAAATACACAATGCTTATGATTCAAACGATGCAGTGGGCAAAAGCAATACTGTTGGTTATTGAACTAACCTCCATATGTGATTATTTCAAACTTAACCAGTACATTACGTTTTCTATATTGTTAGTTAAATTACTATTGGAATGATCTCAGTGATGTATGTTCCAAACTAAATTTAACTTTTAGTGGAAAAACGTTGTCGTGAGAAGAAGACGCTTTATGTAATGTATTCTCGGACTCTCGATTCGATCGGAAAAATTGCTTATCATCTAACTATGCAACTATCACAACCAGTTTAAAAATGTATGTTTTTAGTATCAATGACATTGGCAAAAATAATTTCCTGTGATCGATTACTAATTGATTACTTAATATAATTACATGTAATCGATAACAATCAATTACATTACCAAAAGTAATTGTGATTACTCTCAATTATTTATCCATTTCAATTTCAATTATCAATTTTCAAAGAAAACATAACTCTACATTTATTGATTCTCAAAATTAATGACAATAGTCAGATCTAGTCAGTGGCATTGAAAAGGGTAGATGATAATTAGTTTACAATTACCAGATAATAACTTCACGAATTATACTCTTGATGCAAGTTTCATGATTTGGCTTACATCTATCAGACACGAACATCCTTTCTGGCGTGGTTTTGTGCACTTCCAGATATAAATCAATTGCAGCGCTTGTATTCCAACTTCTTTTCGACAGTTCATAAAGATTGAGTCTTCAGAAATATTGAAACATTCCCTCCATCCTAACATCTTCTATGTATATGTATGGTACAAAACAGTTAGCAAATAAATGGGTTCAACTCGTTGAACAATCACATGGAGGATTTAGAAAAAAAACAGATTATCGTTTTATCACTATATGATCCATCTGGTTCAACTTGTCTGACATGTATGTGTGCCTAAGGGCATCCGGGTAAACGCTTACCTGGTCCAAGCATGTATACCTCAATTACACTGTCGCTTTCATCAGGCGTTTATTTGATGAAGATGAGGACATGAAAGAGAAGTCTTGATGACTAGGCTGTCACATTGATCAGATAAATATTTGATAAATTAATGGCATAGTGATCGAAACGTCACACATAGATTTTCTAACCGATTGTTATATATATTCAATAAACATTACCAACACGAAGAAATTGTTCCGAAAATGAAACAATTTAAAAAAAAAATGATAATGGCACGACATAATGTTTTGTAGGATCAAGGGCAATGCTTTTTTTTTTACTGCCAACCTTTTCGTTCGGCGGCAAATGTCAATTAGAAACCAGGCGGGAATTCTACCTTAATTTAGATATGATGTCATTACGAATGTTACTTGATTACTTTAGCGGTAAGACAATCAAATTCTTACCAGTAGAATAATAACAACACTAACAGATTTTGGTGATTATCGTTTGTTGAAAAGTCTGTTTAGCACTAATAATATGTATTGCTATAGACCCCACCTGCCCATATGCAATACAAAGCAAATCGCCGGTACAGTTATCATATGAACATTATATAGATCTCAGTATCAAATAGGCATATGGTTTTCATAATTGATAATAACAACATTTTTACAAACATTTCAGCATTCAGTGATGCGGAAACAAAGTATAAAAATAGATAGATGAAATACAAAATCGCGCATCAATTCGATCACTAATATTCTTTTATTATTTCATCGTTTTGAGGCTTGATTTTCTCGAGTGTTTAGCAATAGACAAGAGTCGAGCAGAACATTGAAAATTTTGATGGTTTGGATTATTTCCACAGCATGGCCAAATAAGGAATACAGAATACTTTATTTTTCATGCAGATGGAATCATGATAGAGGCCTTCCAGAAAATGTAATTGCGACTACACTGGGTCAGTCAAAGATATTGCGTGGAAATAGTATATTGTATGAATGTTCCTATTGTTATTACGTTTTAAATCACAGGCATTCAAATCATCATTGAGTGATTACAGTGTACAACAACACGCGACAAGCTTTGGTGTATTGGTCCATTCATGGTAAAGAGGTCATGACACTGACATAATGGCACTTTGGAGTAAGGGTCCGTTCAGGGTATAAACGTCATGACACTATGATATGGTCGTACACATATGAAAAAGTTACCATTAAGACAAAAATGTATAATGTTCATGACGTCATAATTGTTCTCGTTAAATTAAAACCTCTCTAGAATAGTTCGCAAAAGTTCATAGATCAGATATATGATATTTATAACGACATGCAAAACAGGTGTGGTTTAGTCATAGTATTCATTACATAGATTAATGCACCAAATACATCACAATTGTTCAGTTCGAGGCTATCACAATAAGTAAGACATTCGACATTCCATAACTTGAATGGTATTCAAAACTGTCTTCTTTATTCATCCTGTAACGGTTACGACAGAAAATGCTTTATTAACATCAAACAACGTTTGTCCCTAAAAACAATTTTTCATTTTTACCTTCAGTAATAATTATACTGTTTGATACATATATTTGTGTATATTGTAAAACTGAGGTGAAGTGTATGACTGAACGCAGTAGTTTCGTGTAGACATTATAGATCGCCTGATACCGTGGTAATATGCGTTATGTATATACGTATCACTTTGATAGATAAGAAGAATTTTCACATTGATCGAAACATTGTGCCAGATATAATATATATTTGTGATGTTAGCTAGTTTATGTTTGTAAGTATAATTAGTTCTCAGCAGTGGCTCTTTCGTAATACAGATCAATGCGTAGGTGGTATAAGTCACTAACGTAGAAACCTTACGAGGGAACTTTATTTTCAAACGTGTTCTTTCCACCAAATAATTTAGGATTTCTATCGAATGTAAGTATACCATTAAATAATCACCAGTTTCTAATTCTTACAAAAGGCGTTTCAAACACATCCCCCAAACTGCAACCTCAGTTTTTAAAGATGCTATTGAACAAATTTGTTTTTCGGAGTTTCATAACACGTATGCATGCCAGATGTCATAGAAATAAGAGAATATCCTGATCTAAACAAAGGATGATAATTCCCAACTTGGTTTAGGGGACTGAAAACTGAAAATAAGTAAAACTTTCTATTTTCATTCATGTTACAAGAATTGTGAAACACATTATATAAACTTATACAAGTCACTTTTGTTGATCCGAAAGAAAGCGCACAAGAAATCTATTGGCGAAAATCGGAATATCCGAGGTAATCCACGTGGTTATCAACGTGACGCCATACATTGTCGCATGAGATCGTGGAATTAAACTTCCGGTTGCCTGATTGAAAGACAAATGCACCATCCATCCACCCTATTTTCTTTAGTAAGAACATCTTATCATTATGAAACTATATATTTATATCTATTCATGCACAATTGTAACGCTATGGTATAGGCTTGGAGTAGTGTACGAAGCGCCGGATCTCTTATCTTGCTCCGACGCTAGTAATCAAATATCCCTGCAAAAAGGAAAGCAATGTGATTGCGATGTAATAACGTTGTCTACAAATGAACAATCGGATTTTCTCGTTATATTGATAGGGAAAGGTAGTAATCACCAGAAGACAATGAAAAAATAAACAAATAAAGTAAATAAAACAAGGTTACGTTGACTGCAGAGTATTATGCGATATTACATTACATAAATTACATTGTTCACGGAATGGTAACTATATAAACAGGTTGTTTTCTTTAACACTGTCATATGGTTTATTATCATAATTGTTTTGCGGTCATATTTCACTAAAGGTCTTGACTGGGTCGCCCAATTTACAGCCATGTATAGCAGCCACGTCATTATTCAGCTGCTGGCACGAGGTCATTTCGCGGACTTCATTGTCATATTGCCTACATATAAGCGCTTAGCAGTCAAACTACTCTTTTTGGTAATTACCACCGAGTAAATAATTAGATGTTGTACATTTTTCATCTCTTGGTTTTCGATAAAAAACACATTTCATTGTCACAGTTACCACTTCGTAGTTAAAGCCAAGACATCTGGTCATCGTCATAGAAATAGTAGTGAATAATTTTAACCATATTGTATCAAAGTATCCAAATTGTTGTCATGGTTACCACATTCAATACATTGGCCTTCTTAAAGCTTTATAAATAACGTCGAAGATATATAACTACCATGTCAAAAAAACGAATTTTGGACAAAAAGAAGACTGAAAGATAGGAACCCTAATCATTTCTGTGAGGATTATATATATATATATATATAATACAATAGTTGATATCATATTGGTGTGTTTGCTGGGTTTATTTACTGCCATTTTTGAGGGGATGGGTTCCCTGTAGAAGCTGGTGACTATCTCAGTGAACAACATACTGTATGACCGTTTGATGCCATCCTCAGAATTAAGAGTAAAATCCCTTGCTGTCTTGCTCAGTGACACAACAGCTGAGACCGACATTACCGCCACCGGTAGGGCGTATCGAACCACACACAACAGCTGAGACCGACATTACCGCCACCGGTAGGGCGTATCGAATAGGATTTTCAATGTTGTTGTGTAGGACAACGTTTTATGTACTGAAGTATCACTGCCCCTTGCAATAATAATGATCCTGTCTTGTTATGATAGTAGCAATTAACTAAACGCATTAAAACAGACATTATTATGTTATATAATACCGGTACATACCAATTTCGCTTTCGTCAATTCTATGTAATAAGTAGTGTTCTCATAGTGTTACCCTTCATGTCGTCCAAGCCTCGGAATTTTGTTTAATTTCGTTGTAATGATTACTAGGAATTAATCCAGTATAGTGTCAACACTATTCTTTGATGGTCTAATTAATGCTACTGAAATGCTGATATCACTTAATGTTTTCTGTGTAGATACCAAAGAAATTCACTAATAGGTAGATATTTAAAGTTTCATTTTCATGAGATGTGAGGAAAC